TTTTTAACCTTTTACCCTTATTCTTACCTTACCTTACCTTTTTAAAGTTGTTTTTTTCACTTTGTTGCTTTAGTCTTTAAAAATGTCTTCTTTACTTTTAGATGCCCACTTCTATTTTGTATTTTAGCCTCTTAGCCAGTCGTCTTTCTTCACATGTCCTTTCATCAATGTTAATCCATTTTGAATATATTCTAGACGAAAATAATAAATGTAGTGGGAGAAGGATTAAGTGTAACATTAGTCAGCTGGTCTTGATCCGTCTGTTCTCGCTTTATTTGATCAGAGTTGATCACACTGCTGATATTTGTTTAACTGCAATGAAGTGTCTTTAAAACTGACGTCACTGATCCATTATAACAATAAATGTTTTTAAATTATTGTAGCTCGTTGTCCGCAACGGTATTCGAACCCGAAATAATTACAAATTGGCTTTTTTTTTTCAAAAACACCGGCAACCCAAGGGTTGCTCTGATGTTGCGAATCCTCGTAAAAAATATTGTTATTATTTTAGTAATATGTTTTCCCATTTCCTTATATTTACGAGAACTTGTAAATATATTCTATCCTGACAATCTGATTGCAATTTTAACTATAATCTTCAATTGAATTTCAATAATACGTATTTTGAATATTTCCATCATATTAATAATGAGATTTTCGTAAATAGGAATTCGTAAGGTGAAATGGGCTCAGAACGGAAAGAAACCATCCTGTCCAAAGAGACGCTGGAACTGGCGAAAAAAGAGCTTCGAGAAGATGAGTCCACAAGGGATCAAGCGCTGGAAAGCATGAGGACCTGGGTGGAACAAAACCCGAGGATAATTTCTTGCAGGACAGGTATTTGAACATTGAAAATTACAGATTCAATAATTATTAATGGTTTGTTTAAATTTAAAATTATTACGATGTCTGTGGAGAAATGGGTTAAGGGGTCAGCGATCTGTAAAAGGAGATTCCCAACATAAGTTTTGGATTTTTCTGACTTCTTGAAAATGTTTCGTGTTCTAAAACCAACTTGTAATGTATACATTTTGAAAATATTAGAAAAACTTCAAATTATACGAGGTTGAGAAGAATCATCTTATTTCCAGGTCCTAGAAAGGTCTATAATAAACTTTTCTCCTCACATTATTGAATTATATTTACAAATTTAAATATAAATGAGCTTCTTAGGGGGCTTTTCTTGCCAAATACATCGATTATTGTTAATTCCAAACTTGATAATTCGAATTTCTTGATAATAGGAACTCCTCAACAGGTCACTTTGGTAAATCGAAAAATATCCGTTGTATTTTGAATACACTCGGAAATACAAAATATTTTTTGTAACAGGGAGGGAAAAAGATTGTTCTATAAAACCAACTTTCCCTCTTTATAACTCCAACTTTCATCTTTTTAATATACTCTAAATTTTCACATATTGTTTACTTCCTTAAAGCCTAAAGTTTCATCGAATTTTCTATTTCTGTTATATTCGGGGGTCAGTGTTTTGTCAATGTGCTCTCAGCACTGGTCATTTAGGAAAATCATTTAGACAAAGGTCTCCAGGTCACGTTGAAACAAAAACCGCTTCATGGATTATTTAATAGTTCATAACAATGTTCAATTTTTCAGTTAATTTTCACTTTTTCTTCCTATTTACACTTCGAACATCTTGATAATTCGAATTATTTTTTTGGTCCCTTGGGCATTGAATTATCAAGAGTCGACTGTGTTTGGCCGGGAAGGTCAAGATGGGAAGCGTGTTTCAACTGACCGTTTCGTCCTCAGGAAGTTCACGGTCAAGGTGATTCAACTCCAGAACTGGTTTCTTTTAATTTCTATACGATCTTTGCTGTATTAATTTCACTTATTTCGATTTTACCACGGAATCGTGCCACTCGATCAAATGCACAAATTTTTGTGTGTACGATTGGTCATCGATCTAGGGAAAACAGCTAGATTTTTGCCGAACCCTTCTTATATTTGTTAAGACCACTGTGTAATAGGTTTTTTCATTAATTATTTTACATTATCTACCGGCTTTATCTTTATTTCACTACTTATTTGTAAAAAGCATCCTGAAGTTTATTTGTACTTAAAGGAAACGTGCGGCACATTGGGCTGTTTACTGAGTGCTTCACTAATTATTTAAGTATCGCCTTTTCAAAATGGCGACACCTAAAGCATGCCTTCTGGGCTACAAGTTCACAGTCACACTGGAAGTGTTCTGATGTCCATCGTAGACGAGTTAGCAAGGAGAATTTTTATACTTGACTTTTAATGGTCTAATAAATTATCTCAATATCTGTCTGCAGAGATTTTAATTTAATTACCTGAAAGATCAACAGATTTTTCTGATGTTTAGAACTGGAAATTTAGACCAGTTCACTTTTCCCTGTCCATTTGTTGGTTCAACATTCAGGAAACTTTGAGCTGAATAGTTTGTTTCCTTCGCTTCACTCAAACCTTATTAGGCTGGTCTCATACTGGAACCACTGCTGACTACAACTTAAGCTCTCATTGGAATATTCTTCGGAGTGGTTTGTCCCTCGAGTCTTAGTACCATTTTTTCAGGAAGTCAGGCATCGTCTTAGCCACCTTGGCAGTAAAGGTGAGCGGAATTGATATTCTCAATAGTTTGGCAATCTAATAATATTTCGCTCTTTTTCTGAGAATTTATCTGCATACAATTACATGGATATCAGCTTGGAATATTGAGGAAATGAGTATTAGATTTTTCTACCTGCTTCCTTTGCTTTGATTTTGCTACACTTCCTATCTTCAAGTCCAACAGTCACTGCATAATCTGTGCTGGCACCTAGAGGCCAGGTTATCTCCCCGAGTGGTCTGCTTGGTGAGGAACCTGCAATTTTGACTCTTCACCGCTGACTTGTAATTTCACCTGGTCTGTGAGACTATGCTTTCAGCCATCTTCAGTGTTGGTCTCTTCAACATATGGCCAACCTAGTGAGCATAGGAAGACCAAAGTAATCGGTACAGACCAAATTACATTAGAAATAAGTTAGGTATTCCCAGCCCTGCATGGAGCTAAAGGTTCAAGGCTGGCACCTTTTCTGAATATTTCTTGAGCACAGCATAAATTCGGGAATGTGCCCAAGGGTCTTCTGAGAAATCTGATTCTTTCATTTTGGATCCATCATTGTACTAGCATAAAACATAAAACAAATTGATATCTGTACAATAGTTTGTATTATGTCAGATATAAAGTAAAGTTGCTTATGGAATTTTTTTTTTAACTGTCTGAGGGTAAATGTTAAACATTGATTTCCAGATGACAGCTTTTTACTTCGTTTCCTCCGTTTTAAAAAATTCAGCGTTCCGATGGCACAAGAAGCGATGGAGAGATATCTTCTTCTGAGGCAGACTTTGGCGCAGGCTTTTCACAACCTCGACATGCACCTGCCCAGAATGTCTTACCTCCTGAGCAAAGGGTTTGTACTAGTTACCAAAGTAGAATACTTAAATAATAAATTACACCTTGAGCTTAATGACTAACGCTAAAGAAACAACCCTTCTTTGAATGGCAACTAATAAAACATATTTGAAATCTACTGTTATAGTTATTTATTTGCATCACCAGGAAGGGATAAATATGGGAGAAGATGGATCATCGCAAGACCAGGTACAATATCATAATAAATAATTTAAACTGTAATTGCACAACTTCAGCTTTCTTCCTGCATTTCTAATCGATGTTTCTCAATACAAGAAATCTATTTAGTTAATACTTTTTTTGTTTAAACCAAAGGAACCAGTATTAACATTTATAAAATAAACTTATAATTGACATCATTGGTTTTACAAGTCTCGCTAATTGCACTGCATTTGTTGATCGTTTGTCTGCCTAATTGTAATGTATGAAATGTGTGAACTCAAAAGGTGTGTTCGATCCTTACAAATACATTAACGAAGACATGTGCCGAATACACGGTATAGTCTACGAGACGCTCATGGAAGACCAGGAGAACCAAATCAGAGGGTTCGTCCACTTTGCCGACGGTGTCGGAGTTTCCTTTCCCTACCTCACACTCTTCACGCCGAAAGAAGCCGTCAGAATAGTCAAAAATGGAGAGGTCGGTCATAAAAGCTGAAGAGACAAAACAGGAAGAAAAGAAGATATTTTTATAATTTCTGTTTCAGCGCACGGTGCCAATGAGACATAAAGAAGTACATGTCATCAATGTTCCGTCTGCCCTCAAATATGTCCTAGACTGGGGAATGACACTCATTTCCGAAAAAATTAAAAAGAGAGTTAAGGTAATGCATATTAAAACAATTATTTATATTAAAAAAATTTACTTAAATTTCCCATTTAAAATTACTTATTATTAAACTTGGTCTTATTCTCATCCTAACTTTTTTGGGTCTTTTTTTCAATTCAATATAATCATTCAGGACAAGTTTTTCTTTGGGTTGTTTATCGGTATGTTATTCAAACATGACCCTTTATGTAATGTTTGTAACTATATATCCATGTCTGCTTGATTTGAAAGAAAGATTTTTCTATTTTTCCAAATATTAGTTCTAACAAAATAATCGAAAATAAGGAGGAAAACTAGCACTAGATTTGTTTAAACTCAAGTTGTGTTAAATTTGCTTTCCTTTAAACATAAATTTTCTTACTGAAATTTATAAATTTGAAATGCTTCTAACATATTAAAATTTATTAGAATAAAATTTATTAGAATTTAAAGAAAATAAATCTTTATTTTGACATTATGAAAATTAAAAAGGTAATAAGCTAAAATTCAAAGTTGAATAATAAAAAAAAATTTAATTATTTATTTATTTAAATGGGCAGAAGACTAAAATACCATACATTTGCAATAAAAAATATACAAATTTGTCCATATTATGAATTTAAAACTTAAATTATACATTTGTAATAAACTGTACATTTTGTAAAGGATTAAGGGAAAGATAATTATTAAAAATCTTTTTACGGAGTATAAAAATAAACATAGATTTATTAACATTAATTTATTGTGTACTAAGCAATCAGAACAAACCTTATACTCTGCTAAGCCAATAGTAGAATTAAAAATTCCAGTTATAATAAAAAAGCCAATAGTAACAATATAATTATTTTGAATAACTAAGAGATTGGCTGTCGATGGCCATAGCGATTTAGATTAGTTGACCAATTGACTTTTAAAACAATATTATTATTAATATTAAAAAAGTGTAGAAGTTTTTCAATCCTTTGTAGGCATAGGTTTTTGAAGCATTTATAGTCAAGCCATTTTTATATAAAAAGGCTTGTGTCGGATAACAGGAGTTGTGAAATTAACGCCTTTTTTATTATAATAAATAAGTAAAAAATAGTATTAATTTAGAAATGGAAGATTTTGATAGACTTAATCTCTTGAGACAAGAATGTTTATAGGTCCAGTGTTTACGCTTGCAATAATGATTCAACAGATTCCACTGTTTTCAAGACATAAATGAGAAAGTGGCTACCCTAAAACCTTGTCCAAATCTATGAGCCAAAGATATATGAATGTATAAATTTTTTGTAACCGACTAAATTTCTGAAATTACTGATATTAATTCTATTTTGATAAATATGTTTTGGTACCATGTTACAAGAAAAATTATATTACATAGTTGAATTTATTTTTGGTAAATCATGGCGATAGTTTAATCTTGTGTGATATATGTTTAAAGATTTATGAAATAATTTATATTTAAAGATATGCATTTTTATGCAAAGACAGTTGAGAAGAAAAATTAGTGTCGTGAAGTCATGGGTTCGATCCCACTTATGACACTAGTTTTTCTTCTCAACTGTCTTTACATAAAAATTGGAAATAATAATAATAATAATAATAAACAGATATCTAATTAAATTACAAATATGAAGGCCGAACTTTTTTTAAATTACTGTTTTAAAACTTTTACTGTAACTTTGTGTGGTATTATTATTTGGAGATCATGAGATTTTATGTGATATCTTCGTGGTTTATTTAAAATTATTTTTATTAGACAATTTAGAGTGATTTTTATGGAGCATAATTAAAGTTTTACTACACTCCTCCCTACACCGTAATTATGTAATATGGATTGTGCTAAGGTGAAATAAACTGGTTTTTAGAGTAGATAAAGGTAAAATGCTTCCAATAATTCATACATGTTAGAAATAGTATTATTTTTGCAAAGAAATTTAATTATTTAACTTTTTAATCACTTTTCCAAGATTTTTACTAAGGATAGTGTTAAAGAAATTTGTCAGTAGTTATCGATATCTAATTTTGACCCACTTTTAAATAATGGTACAACAGTACTTTTAAAATATGTTTGGAATATTTCCATTTATGTATACAACATTATATAAATAATTGGAAGAAGTTTCAATAAATCTTTTTTTTTAAACCACTGGATCTGTCCATTTTTTCAGTTTCTGTCACTTGCTAGATCATGGTTATGTTTCTGGCCTTTAATACATTTGAATTTAAAAATTAAAAAAGAAAAGTTAATCAATTTTGATTGGGTGCACATTAGTGATGATTGGTCATCTCTGATCTTACTGCTACAAATTCTCGTTGGTTGTGTAAATAAGAAATTTGGGCATTTTTTCATCTTCGGAGGTTAGTCTGTTCATCAGACAATACCAGTGAGAATATGCCTGAGACAATCATGATTCAAGATCGTTGAAAGCAATGTCTTAAAATTACATTTCTGTTGTAGATTTACACGTCCATCGACGAAGCCCTGAAGACAATCGATACAGACATGCTACCCCAAGAGTACGGTGGCAAAATACCCATGGCTGAGATGATAGGTAAATTTGATAACTAGAAATTTTTTCATAGAAATTTCAATCGCGTATATTTCAGAGAGATTCAAAGAGGAGATTGAATTGGCCAGGCCGCAGCTCCTGGACCATGACAAAATGGAAATGAGGTTGGAATTGTTTTCGGAGAACGCAAAAGCCGGCGCAGTCTCTGCCCTCAAAGCAGGCAATACAAGCTGCAATCCTTACAAAAATGATCTACTATGTGGAAGTTTTAGGAAACTGGAAGTGGATTGATTCACTTAATATAAATTAATATAATATGCTTTTATACTGATATGTCTAAATTAGTAATGAATTTTTGAAAAATACTTTTAGGTTTTTTTAGAAGCTTACCACTGCACTTTATCATACCATTTATGTTGACAACTTTGTGAACTTAAAAATACTCAAAAAATAATCTCTTGACATTGAGAAATAAGACAATTTACTAAGTGACCTTCCTTTAGACTTGCTTAATTTTTTATAACTATTATATAGTCATAGCGTTTATATTATAAGTTTTTTTATACTAGAGAACTATTAATTTAGAAGTGAACATAAGTTTCATCATTAACATTTTCCATGTATGTTACAAACATTAAGTAAATTACGGTTCAAGTTTGATTTGTTTTTGTGTATCTTCTTTGTATTCTACGCAAATTCTTTGACCGCAGAATTCTTCATCTTCAGGCTGTAAATACTTGCAGCATATTGACTGGGGGAGGGTGATGATGGAACAAATTAGAAAGAAAAAGATGCAGACTAAAAAATCAGAAAATTAGAAAAACGAGATGACCCATTTCAGATAATAAGACCTACCTATGAGTACAGGAATGGAACATATTAAAATAAACTTCATTCCAAATTTTTCATAAGCATAGATAGCTAGCGCAACAAACATGACTGCTTTCTCAAATTTTGTAGTCCAGTTCAATCTCTCCTCCCCAGCATTAATCGTTATATTCATTGTAGTGCCGAAGTGTATTCATCTTCTCTGAATGAACTGGATGATTGAATTTACTCAATAAATATTCACTCAAAAACATGCTTAGCATCCGAATAAAAAAACTATTTTTCTTTTTTTTTTACATTGTCCTACTCTTGTTTCTAAAATACAATTAGTACATACATGTTACTAACTACTGACAATAAAAGATCATATGTGACAGTAACTGAAATGTATTTTTTAATGTAATAATTTTTTTATATTAAACTACTGTTATAACTATTTTATTAAAAAATCTTTTACTAGTACTTCATGTAATAAAAAAATAAAACTTTGTTGGTAGCATTAAAGTTATATTATTTCTTGTATAACAATATGAAAAGTATTTACAAATGTATTTTATTTTTAATAAAATCAGATTTTTTTATTAAAGTTTTTTTAATGAACTAAAAACAAGTGATAAAACATAAAATAATGTTTGTTGGGTTTATTAAATTAAAATTTATGTTAGTACAGTAGTGTTCAATAGGATTTGTTCCTTACAAATTGTTTACATTGTGAGATTTAATTATTTAAAGTCTTTTCAAAAGAATGGTTCAAAAAATAAAAGATCAGATCTTTTTGAAAGAATGGTGAAAGAAATAAAGGATCAGATCCATTTAAAAATATGGTCCAACAAATAGAGGATTGATCCATTTGAAAGATTGGTCCATCAAATAGATCATCAGATCCATTTTTAGATCCTTTTGAAAGAATGGTAAAAATATGGTCCAAGAAATAGTGTATCAGATCCAGTTTAAAGAATGGTCCAACAAATAGATCGTCATATCTTTTTGAAAGAATGGCCAAAGAAATAGAGGATCAGATCCTTTTGAAAGAATGGTGAAAGAAATAAAGGATCATATCCATTTTAAAGAATGGCCCAACAAATAGATTATAATATCTTTTTGAAAGCATGGCCAAAGAAATAGATGATCTGATCTTTTTGAAAGAATGACCTATGAAACAGAGGATCAGATCCTTTTGAAAGAATGGTCCAAGAAATAAAGGATCAGATCCATTTGAAAATATGGTCTAACAAATAGATGATCAGATCCTTTTGAAAGAATGGTCTAACAAATAAAGGATCAGATACATTTGAAAGAATAGTCGAAGAAACAGAAGATCAGATCCATTTTAAAGAATGGTTCAACACATAGAAGATCAGGTCATTTTGAAATATTTGGCCCAAGAAATAGAGGATAAAATATTTTTGAAAGAATGTTCAAAGAAACAGAGGATCAGATCCATTTTGAAGAATGCTCCAACAAATAGAGGATCATATTCTTTTGAAAGGATGATCTCAAAAGTTGAGTACCTTCACAAAAAAAAAAAAAAAAAAAATCCTATTGGATCAGACCTCAATGAAATTAAATTTAAAAAATAGTGTTATTACAAGTACACTTTTTATATGTGGGTAGTGATTTTTCTTTAAATGTATTAACTTTAATCGCCGTTAGGAAACCCATTTTTTGTGTGTTGAAATATTATAAAATAAAATTCCAAGCTTTAAAGTTTTTCTTTAAATTCACTAATTTCGAGGTCCGCTTGACCAATTAATATTTTTCAATTAATTAAGGTTTTTAGTTGAGTTTTTATCTCAAATAAAAACCTTAATTAATTTGCAAGATTTTTACTTTAACATGAATACCTGTTTGTTCTTACATTATTGAAATCAAGAAAACCCTTGTTTTTCTTTAAAAAAAAGTCTGCAAAGTATGTATTTAAAACATTTTGCTACAACTAAACCAGAATATTAAATTAAATTAAAAAAAAATAAAGAAAAAAAAATTCACAGTATTAGGCACCGGCGAGATTCGAACTCACGATCTCCTGTTTACTAGACAGGCGCTTTAACCAACTAAGCCACGGCGCCTCCGTCCGAATCTTGCCTACGACGTCTACTTATAGCAGCCCAAACCTGGCGGGGGTTTTAACAGCCGTTTTTACTCTTTAGCCGTCTTCAGTGATTTTTCAACACAAATTAACAATAAAATAATTAATCTAATTTTATTACTATTAACAACCGGATTTGATTATCGCCATGGAATAACATGGTGCGCAGATGTCGACCATTATGATCGTCCGTGTGAAGCAGACACACCATATATTATCAATTAAAATTTAAATCAAGGTTGTTTTTTTTAATTTTTTTTAAAAAACTGATTAATCGGTGTAAAAGAAAATAATATTCGTATTTTACTTGTATACGTATGGGACAAACTTCATAAGCAAATTTTGCATATAAACACATTATAAATTGTTTTCGTTATCTCAGTAATTATTTATCATAGAGAGATAAGCTCTGAATAATGATTAAGTTCTTTCTGAGGACAAAGGTACTAAATGGTCCTAGTTATTTGGTAGTAATCCTAGGAATCTTGGACAAAAGAAACAGATAATCTTATTTTTCTTTTATTAGTGAAAATAAAATTTCATATAATTTTAATTTTTATTTAGTATATTAAATTCAGTACTTAAATTTAGTATATTTAAGTAGTATAGCATTTCTCTATTTTCACTAACTCATTCACTTACTCTCCCTCTCACTTTACTAACGTTGTGTAAGTCCAAAAGACGTGGCGTGAATAAATAAAATCATCAATCAATCAAATCAATCTCTTGTCTCATTCATTTTTCTCGTTTAGGTATTTATTTTTGTAAAGCCGAACTCGTTGATTGTAAGGAAGGTCAATATGACCTAAATCTGCGAGTATTATAAATAAAGCATTTCAATTTTAATTCTCTTCTCCACCTCTCTCTTTCAACGTCTAACTTCTCACTTCTCTTCCTTCTAATTATCTATTAATTTATCCTAACTCTGAATCACTTTTTTCTCACTAATTATTCATCTATTCTACGGAAATTCCTATGCCGCTCTCGTCCTATCACCCCCCTCGCTATTTTCCACTTTCTCAAGACTTTCGAATGAAGAATTTTCTATGAATTTTGTAATATAAAATGTATTTAATGGATTTTGCGTAAATAAAATGGAACCTGTAAAACTTCTAGGTCAATTGAGTTTAACATTGAACTAGGCTTATTTGATGACTTAAATTGACGATAAGTCTGGCGTTCGTGCTGATAAAGCACATCAGCACTGTTAAAACAGAAGAAGAAGGAGAAAAAACACATGAATGTTTGTCCTTCATTAATCATCAATTAATGATTAATTTATCCTTAATTAATCTTCAATTTTAGAATTAAATGTCTGAATTCAATGATTAAGAACATACAATCAGGAGTTTCTTAAAATGATAGAAGACGGATAGTAGTCAAACTCTCGTGTCTAACAATTCGTCCATTCTGTAATCAATTTTTCCATTTCGACATTTTAATTTTATAATAAATTTATTGTGCTATTTTTCCGAACATTTGTTCAAATAAAGCGGGTCGAAGGAAAAAAAATGCCATTTGATATTATAAATATGTATTTTGACAAAAAAATGACATTTCTGTTCAATTTTTGGCTCGTAAAAATGTTTTTCTTTGGTCCAATTTTAATTAATTCAATCAATATACCAAATGTATAACAAACGAGTTAAATTTTCTCCTATTCAGACAGTCCATACACAATTTTCTTTTCTTGGAATTTACAAATATTTTACATCAGAGAAACCTTCAATATAAAAAAAAATTATCTAGCTTTAAATCCTGCGGGATTTATGTCTTCTGTTTCCGAATTTCGGCCGAGGCCTTTTTCTGTAGTTTTCCTCCTTTATAAATTTGGCGAACGCTTTTATTCCCTCCCACGTCTCGACACAGACGTCCTGGATTTTCCCAGGTGGGAAATCGAACCCCTCTTCGCCGCCCCCTGGAAGCTCGAACGTGTACGAGTATTTCACACCCAATACGGCTTTCATGTAGTCGTCGCTTCCACCCGCTCCTAGACCTGTAAGGAAAACCCACAAATTTCAATTTCTCAACAATAAAAAAACAATTTTACACGTTGGCAATACTACAACCTGGTCATCATGGTCCATGATACAACCTTGTCATCGTAGGTCTTGCAACCACCGAATCACCACACCCTATGGCACAGCTTAGTCATCATAGCCGAAGGTACAATCTAGCCACCATAGCCTATAATTTAAGAAACCCGGTGTAACGCTCCACCGTGGCGGCCGTTATAAGCCCATGATAGACCTAGTTATCATAACCCATGGCACAACCTAGTCATCATAACCCATGGTACAACCTATTCATCATAGCCATGGCACAACCTAGTCATCATAGCTCATGGCACAACCTAGTCATCATAGCTCATGGCACAACCTAATCATCATAGCCTAAAATTTAAAAAATCCGGTTTAGCACTCCTGCATGACGGGACTTTATAAGCCCATAGGACAATTTGGTCATCATAGCGGATAATTTAACAAACCCGGTGTAGCACTCCACCGTGGCGGGCGTTATAAGCCCATGGTACAATCTGGTCATCGCTGCCTATATATAATTTAATAAACACCACTGTGACAGTCTTTATAAGCCCATGGTTCAACCTAGTCATAATAACCAATGGCAAAACCTAGTCGTCATAGCCCATGGCAAATCTAGTCATCTATTGCCTGGTACAATCTGGTCACTATGGTCCATAGCCTAACCTGGTCATTATAATCATAAAGAACAAAGTTCATTCTTGTCATCATGGTACAATCTATCATCATAACCCATGGTCTACTGGTTATAGGCTTATTTTTGCTATGTTTGACGAGTTTCGTTACTTAGCTTATTGTTGGCGGTTGTTCCTTCGTTTTATTTTAAAGATCGAAATACTCATTTACTCATTATTTCCAGTAAACTTCAATTTTTTTAAACTATTCTTCTATTCGATATAATTCGTTTGATTTGTTGATCAATGCACGTTGTGCAAGCAAACACACTCTCACGCGCGTCCATACACATACAGAGATAATGATAGAATGTATTGAATAATTATGGTGATTTAATTAAAATTAATAAATACCGGTTGTATCTCCAGGTGTGCCGATTGTGTAGCGATGGCCCCATACTTTTTCCATGGCATTTCTTGCCCTATCAGCGACCCGGTACTATAAAAAACAAACATTATTGGATCCTATGAAAAAAGGAAAAAATATTCTTATGACACTTGTAATGGTGAAGATGATGATGATGATTATCAGCCCTTAGTGATACAAGTATCATTCAGGCACCGTAATTTTTAATTTTTTTAAATCAGCATTTTGTTAGATTAAATGTCGTATTAGGTACTATAGATAAAAAGTGCTGTGCTAGTATAGACGATGTTTTTATGATCCGTTAATTATTTCAAGGTTTCTCTAATACTCCCACGCTGTTTTTGTTTTTTCATTTTTATAATTTATAATAAATAAAATATTTTTCTTTGGTAAAAAACAAGAATATTTTTAAATAATTTGTTCTAAAGGAGACTTCGGGAGAGAATATTCCAAGGAATTCAATGAGTTTTATGCGTTATTTTGCTCAGAGGTTTGTTTCTTAATTATTATAACTATTTTTTGGTGATATGAATTAAATAATTTAAAACAAGTATTTTTATGGAAGGTTTTAGTTGAGATGAAAAAGTCAGTGTCCCGAGCGGGATTCGAAGGTCGTGGGTTCGAATCCCGCTCGTGACACTGACTTTTTCATCTCAAGCAAGACCTTACATAAAAAGAATAATTAATATGGTCAATTTTACCACTAAACATAAATGGATTTAAAACAAGATTTTTTTCGAAAAAATATTATATTGAAAGAAGTTGAAGGGAGTCCTTGTAGAGTCTTCAGGACGTTTCAGTACTCGTCTTACCCTCTCTGGCTTTCTCTCTTTTTCTCTTTATGGCTTACACGTGATTTTTAAAGTTCGCTTGTCAATTGCAAGATTATAATCTTAATAAGACTTACTTAAGAGTAAAGCACTTACAAGATCATCATAGTCGGCAGGCCTTTCGTAAGTCCAACCCCAAGGGAATATCAAAAACTGAAACAATCATCAGTCAGCTTGATTTCACAGGATATCGTTATTACATTTCAATTACATTTCCGTAACTATGCATGGTCAGGTAAAGCCTGAGATTAGGGAGTTTGGCAGCGTAATCTCTTAAGGCCCTAGACTCGTACTCGCTGAACGGCCCGTTTCCTCCGAATATCTCCTCGCATGGTAGTTTGCTCGTTCCGATCCCTATCGGCAAAATGTTTAACAATGGTGCTTAAAAAAATTACAATTTATTTGTTCCACCTCCGTATTTGTAGCCAAAATTTCGGTTGAGATCTATCCCGAGGCAGTGCGAGTTCGGAATCTTCTGCCTGTTCTTCCTCCAAAATCTGTCCTGAAAAATTAAACAAAGTAGATTTTGTTATTCATAAGTTTGGTTGATTTACCCCATGCCAGGTGTAGTTGTAGCCGTCTGGGTTCAGCATAGGCACTATGTACCAGTTGACTTTGTCAATAAGGTACTTGTTGTCTTCGTAATTCTCAACCAGTTGGCTCAGGATGCAAAGTCCAACGGCTGGCGAGATCCATTCTCTGGCGTGGATCCCTTTGTGCAAAAAAAAACTCCGGATCAGTACAGTAATACACTAAATTATGCTAATATATTTTACCCGCATCGATTAAAATCGATGGCTTCTCCACGGTCGCCCTCTCATCGTTGTGGATGTGGAGAGCTGTTATCGGGCTCTTTTGATAACTGTAACCGATCACCTCCTTGGTAACTATGTCCGGTCTGCTCCTAGCCAAATAGTCTACATACTCGTTTATCTGCAAAATTGGAAAGAAATTAGCAGTTTAAAAATTTGTATTGTGTGCGTTAAAATCGTTTTAGAGATTGGCTGATAAGTCTCAATATAAATTTTTACATGGAAGAAGGCGGTGACAGACCAAAATGACCTACACTCTACAGGTTCATCACCCCACGCACCACATTGAGAGATCTCGCAAAAAAAGGTCTTCTTCAGTAAATACCTTGATACTTCTTAATAAAATATAGTAGTACAGTCTTCTCTGAGCAACCTTCTTCTCCTATCTTCTTATGTACATATAAGGGGTAGTTCTTTAAAAGAAAATCCCTTCATAAATATCAACATGCCTATCAGAAAATCGTGTGAATCAGCACTACATCAACTAACGATACAAATAGAGGATTCACTGAACAACCAAGAAATAGCATTGGGAACCTTCTTGGACATTGAAGGAGCATTTGACAACACTCCTTTCGAAGCAATGGTTACATCACTCAAACAGCGAGGAACAGACGAAACCTGCTGTAGATGGATAGAATCAATGCTAAAAAGTAGGAAAGTGCAGGCCTCCATGTTCCACGAAAAAGTAGAAGCAGTGGTGACGAGGGGGTGTCCGCAAGGAGGAATACTCTCGCCTCTGCTGAGGAATGTGGTACTGCATGCTCGTATGCAAACTAAATGAAAGTGGAACTTACACCCAAGGCTATGCAGATGACATTGTCATACTAGTCAGGGGAAAATTCGATTCAACATTAAAAGAGCTAACCCAAAGAGCACTAAACCTGGTGGAACAATGGTGTTTAAAACGGGGACTTAAAGTAAACCCCTAAAAACTACCTTAATTGCTTTCACCAAGAAAAGAAATATAGAAATACAAGGATTACGCTTCTATAACGAAATGCTGCTATTAAAAAATGAGGTGAAATATCTAGGAATAATCTGTGATAAGAAATTAACCTGGAATCCTCACTTGCAACATACTATAGCAAAAGGTAAAATATCACTAATGACCACAAGAAGGTCCTTAGGCAAATCTTGGGGACTAAAACCGAAAATGGCCTATTGGCTATACACAGCAGTAATAAGACCCAGAATAACCTATGGATCACTAATCTGGTGGAACATAGCTACCCAAACATTAGGCAGCATACAAAGACTAGCAAACCTATCACAGAGGTGATGAAAACAACCCCTACAAACGCATTAGAAACTTTGCTAAACCTACATCCACTGTAAATATTCATACAAGGAGAGGCTAGGAAAAGCTCATTTAGACTCCAGAAACAATTAAATTGGAAAGGAACTAAACAATTCGGTCATACAACTATAATCAACAAAATCAGACACCATTATTAGAAATGGGGACTGACTACATGATCCGGGAAACAATCTTTACAACTTCCTATAGTCTCAACGGACTATAAAGGAGAGGAAGAAAACAGGATGGTACACAGATGGCCCCAAAACAAACAAAGGAACCGGATCAGGCGTTTTCTGTACAAGCCCAAAACATGAGCAATCAAACTCATTAGGGAAGTACACTTCGGTCTTTCAAGCGGAAATACATGCCATCAATGCTTGTGCCCTGGAAAATCTTAAAAGAGGTTACTGACAAAAAAATCCTCATAAGATCAGACAGCCAAGCAGCTATTAAAGCATTAGCATGTAAAAGAATCACATCAAAACTAGTCAGTGAATGCATCCAAAATATCCAAAACCTGGGGAAACACAACAACCTGATGATATCTTGGATGCCAGGGCACAGGGGAATTTTGGGTAACCAGAAAGAAGACAGACTGGCCAAAGGAGGATCTGCAAGACCATACGTAGGCCCCGAACCTATTCTTGGGATAACAAAAACAAATATAGAATCCTCCATCGCAGAATGGATTCAAGCCAAACAAAAGGAGAAGTGGATAAACTCTAGCGGTGCTAGACATAGTAAACTTATGATGAAACAACCCTCACCGAGACTGGCAAAAACACTGCTGCAATTGGAGAGGGCCAAACTCAGAGGAGTGGTAGGACTACTAACCGGTCACTGGCATCTGAGAAAACATCTACTCAACATGGGTATATACAGCGATGATCCCGTTTGCAGATTGAGAAGGAGCAAACAGCCACTCATATCATCTTCGAATGCGAAGCAACAGCTCAATGGAGGTTTAACCTAACGTACGGAAAAGACTTAGGGAATCAAATTGCAGCAGCAACAGTCAATGACCTGATACTTCTAAGAAGTCTATTGACTGAACTAAGGAACTAGGAAGGTACAATAAGTCAGAAGGCTGCAGTGCCTGGGCAAATACAAATCCCGCTTCCTAGTATCCTTTTCCACCATATCATACCTATCTTCTTGGCCTGCCTATTTTCATTGGTTTTGTCTCCCATATGAGTTTTAGTATGTCCAGTGTGTAATTTTGTACATCGTATAATTTTATACATTTGAAACAGTTGAAAAGGCATAGGTAGACCAAGAAGAATAGTATCAAAGAAATAAATAAAAAAATTTTTTTAATCATCCAGGGCCAAAAATGTCAAGCTACAAAAGAACTAGGAAATATTGCTAGAAGGTGCTTAGAATTAAACATATAACTTGCTTGTTGACAATAAATATGATTATATGAACATTACATTGGTGATATTTCTTGTGTTTTTCTAACAAAAAAACCATTTTCAGAATATGTAAAGAAATGAATATGAAACAATTCATTATTATTAAAAGAAAATCCATCTGACGTAGTGTACTTCCCCATTTGACAGAAAATTGGCTCGTGCTTGGATCTTGCTTTTAGCTAGCAAAAATTTAAAACTCAGGATAATCTTGTGTGATTTCCTTTTAAAAGGTCGTGATTTATACAAGAAAATAGGGGATTAAAGGTGGAATAATACGGCTAGACAGTGATCAGGGAAGTCCAAACGGACCTCCATTATCTTGGGCTGGATTTCTCCTGGATCTGTCGGATTGCGAGAGGAAGGTTTAAATTCAACGAACAGTCTACCAAGAAAAATCCAGGATCCGTTTGAGTCAAAAGAGTTTTGTATGCCATTAATGGTGTAAAAATGATTAAAATTCAGAACTGACTCGTCGTATCCGCCGGACTTCAGATAGCGATCTGTTCCGGAGTCAATGCATTTTTAAGTCAATTTATCAAAAATATTCGTGGTTGGATGAAAACCCGCTGTAATTTTTAGATCAAAACGTAAAAAAAATCTACTCATAAAAATTTGTTTTTATTTACCGTTTCCAGTGTGTTGTAACTCGTGTCTAAATTGAGTTTTGCTGGCCTTTTAATTTTCACATCCTGAATATCGTCGAATTTAATTGGATAGTGTTGATATCTGGAGAGAAAAAAAATATTCCAACAGTTAAACACATTTTTGTGTCCTTGATTCAAAAATCGTCGACTCACCTCTTGTTAAATGTAAGGCTGTTCGTTATGACTAGATTACATACAAATAAAACTATGGCAGGATTCATTTTTCTGGAACAAATTTAACACATTTTAACTACTGTTGTAATAATAATTCAATAACAGTGACAACTGTGAAAGAGCACACACCTAGACAATTTTTGTATCGTCGTCCCACTGGTCCACTTGATGATGTCAATCCGGAAAATTGATTAGGAGCGAGACCAGACGGGCTCAAAGGCGATCAAACGTCCAACACGAGTCTCTCATAAATCCATCTTGATTTACTATGAAAGATAGTAAAGTTTGATTTGGAATGCTATTAAAAGAAAGATATAAAATTCAATTATAGCAAGTTTGTATAAATAAAAGCTTACACAACTTCAAAGAAATGTACTATGTATTATTATTGTGACATAATTTTCTCGCGTATTATTAACATTACAGTTATTTGTGTGGTGATTAGTGACCGTTAGTCGTTGATTATTTGGAGATCGTGAGATGCGGTCTGGTGTGACGTAGGTTTTAGAAAAACATCTTTATCATGCCAACGTTTCGATCTGAATTGAGATCATCGTGTTTTTTTCCGTGTAGATTGTCATTCTTGTGTGTGCCACTCTCAACACGTCACACAAGAATGACACATCTATACGGAAAACAAACACTTTGAGCTCTGAAGATGATCTCAATAAAGATCGAAACGTTGGCACGACAAAGAAAATATTTTTCTAAAACCTACGTCACACCAGACCGCACCTGACGATCTCCGAATAATTATAGTTATTTACAATTATTCAGAAATCGTGAGATGCGGTCTGGTGTGAATAGTTATTTCACATGAATTGTATATTTAAATTTAAATAATATAAAATTATATTTAATATTAAGTAAGTGGTTGGGGTTTAGTAATTTCATTTAGCTAGATGGATTATCGAACATATAAGAAACAGATTTTTGTTTACACCATGCCCATAAAGGTCAACGTTTGTTTATATGGCTCTCATAAAAATTTGCCCCCCTCAAATTACTAGTCGGGTTTATGATATATTCTTTAAAAGGTGATTGCATTTTCAAAGATTGTAAATATTTTGGTTTGTTTAGATCTCACCATTTAAGAAGCGATGCTGCACTTTATTTAGGCTTTCTTTAATAAGAAAATAAATCTCGGAGTGTGTTTATGACAATTTCAGAGTTTGTTTACTACGCATTCTTTAAGAACTAGATGTGTCATCTAAGACTGTAGCTTTATTTAAGAATTAATTTTGTTCTTTTAGATGGTAGATGCGAAGGTTTGTATATGACACTTTTTTTTAAGATTAATATGTATTGTTTTATATTGTGGAAGCCAGGGTTCATTTATGACACTTTTTTAAAATTTATTTGTATCCTTATACTTTTGTAAAGGGCTTGTATGTTTCAATCCTACATAAAGGGGTTTGTTTGTATAATTAACGCTTTTTAATTGTTAATTAAGTACCTAAATTTGTAAAATTCTATGTTTATTTATTCCTTTTAAATATTTTAATTTTACCTTCTTTTTATTTTGGTTGACACCGAACCCTTTACCGTCTGTAGATGTCATTCGTTCATCCTGATTCAGGACTTTGGATTGGAAGGACTGTCTTTTTAAAAAGATAGTTCCTATTCACAGTTAGCTGTTTTCAACAAGCCGGATTTCAAGCTTATAACTCATCATCAGATTGAAGGAGTTCTACAACTTGATGATGAGCTATAAGCTAACAAATGGGAACTATCTTTTTAAAAAGATTTCAGTCGCTCACTCCACCATTTATTATTTCTATTAGAAGGACTATTCTTTGAATGTTGGAAGGTATGATACCCTACAGTTCTAGTCCGGTTTGGTTTTAGTATTGCCTTGTAAATTGTCGGTTTCTTTTTTGTTAAAACGTTAGATTTGCGCGACAATAGTCTGTACAGTAGTCCGAAACGTTGGTTTAGTGCCTGCCATTTTAGTCGTGTGTGTTGGTTCCAGGTTAGTTTTGAGTCTAGATGGAACCCAAAGTAGCGGGAGCAGTGTGTTTTTAGGATGGGAGTATTATTGATATATGAGGGGTTTTCCTTCCAAGGGTGAATGATATATGTGTTTTGCTTTCATTAAGCTGTTTGCTCCATTTGGCTATATTCAGGACATGTACCTACAGCTCCTCCGAAGCAATTGAGAGTTTGGGATGAGAGGATAGCACAAATGTGTCGTCAGCAGAGGATGCAAGGATGGTGGAGGGGTGAAGTTGGGTTACCTCCGGTGTAAAGGAGGTAAAGGATCGGTCCATGTACACTGCTCTGAGGTACTCCCGCTCCCGAGGACGATAGTCGGAGTAGGCTGATCGTTGGCCGACCCTGAAGAATCGTTCGGTTAGTAGGAACGAATGATTGGGTAAATGGCATTTGGTAGGATGCACTTTAGTTAGTGCAGGAAGCCTTTATGCCACTTCAAATGCTTGCGACACATCAAGAAAGACCTGTACTCAGCATTCTTGCGTTCGAGGGATGAGGAATTCCTCAATGCGAAACACTTGCTGGGTAGAGGAGTGTTGGGATCGGAAGCCGAACTGGTGGTCTGGGAGGATGGAGGAATGAATGTCCGGATTAATCGTTTGAGGACGATCTTTTCGAATACTTTTGAAAAGATTAGGAAGAGATTGATTGGACCGTAGGAAGAACCACACCGGGTTTTGGAAGCAGAATAATAGGAGTATTTCCAGAGCAATGGACAGTTTTAAAGGTAAGTGAGTAGTATAACTTTCTTGGGGAGTTCTTGGAGGATTTGGGTCGTGATGAGATCAAAACCTTATGCTTCGGCAATCGAGGCAGGAGATATTTTATTTCTGAAGTGGTGACTCTTTTGGAGGGAGAGGGACTTGAGGTATTCATGGATTACTGTTTCGTAAAAGGCACTATCAAGATCGGGATGGCGAGTAAAGGTCTCACGATACTGGGCGAAAGTCTTGGCCTTTACAAGATCGGACATCATCCAAGTTCCGTCGCTGCGTTGAAGGGGAGAGGAGAGAACGAGGTCCTTTAAGATTTTTTTGTGCCTTTCCACAGTGATCTGTTGGAGGTAGTTAGGTTGGAGAGATAAGAGTTAAGGGTTAATCTATTAAAGGACTGACGGTCGGAAGGTCTAAGTCTAATCTCTGCCATAAGACCCTGGCCGGGTGTTTTTGAGATAAAAGATTCGCAATGTGCGGGGGTTTTATAGAGGTTTAAAACAGTTAAAAAGGTCAAATTGGGATACCTGACAAGACGGAGCTTGAATTTGACGGTATGTGCGCTGAAGCGGACCACAATGACAACTACGACTCTTCATATCAGTTTGGAAATTGAGCTTTAAATTGACAGATAATAAAAACGATAAATATTTTTTTCTAGTCAGGTTATGGATAAGAACGACTTCGAGAAATCTTTCTACAGAAAGATTACCGTATCATGTTTAAACTGTGATTGGACTGCACTCTTCTCGGGCCCATGCATGTCAAGGCAATGAATGTATGAGTAATGCATAAAATAAAAACATAAATAATGCTCGTGTCAATTACACTTGATCAATTTGAAACATTTGGGCGTGGGGGACACAGATTTTTCTTCTTTAAAAAATCATTATAAACACGTTACGCAGGTTCAATGTTCTTCCGGCTCCCTTTTACGGGGCAATGCCTCAATTATTCCAGAAGGAATTACTGCCCAACCTTAATCTCCTCGTCTGAATTCATCGGCCTTTGTTCAATTAAAAAACAAAAAAAATAGAAGCATTGTTTGATAATACGATATATGAAGTGAAACAAAGGTCTGATAATGAAAGACAAAGAGAAGTGTTCGTTTCTTCGACAGCTAGAGCCAGGCGTTTTAAAATCAGTCTATAAAACAGGACTGTCAAGTTAACAGTTTAGTTTTCTGGGAGAGAATAGCACATGATAAAATTATCCATGATTAAAGTTGATGGGGTGTTGGTCTTTGAGTGAGTAATGAATGACATGAAGCAGAATTGTAACTAAAACAAAAACAAAACAAAAAACCTCAAAGATCTCTATCATCACAAATTGAACGCATATTTCGTACAAATGACTAATTTTATTTTAACAAATTCCTTTTTTTTCTCTTTTTTTTGGTATAGGCAAGACATAAAGGCAGTTTCTCATAGTCACAGAGAGCAATGACAATCTTCGAGGCGCGAGGACGCAATTTCGACACCTCGTTCACATTGTGGCTCTCTTTAGCAATGGGCATGTGGCACAATCAAGAGAAAGAGGACGACAATGCAGTTAAATTTGGTCAATTAAAATTGATCACCTAGGAATTTTGGTCCTCATGATTTTGGCCGAGTTTCGAACCCTTGTCACTTATTGGTCAGACTAATTTTATATAAACTTTCTAAGCTTCTTTAAGATTGTCCCAGTTAAAAAAATACTTGATATGACATCTCACGTAAGTATAATACAAAATCACAACTGTTTTATAGATAATTCAGTGTACTTTCAAAAGTCGGAAAACCCCGCGCTTTTACATGGACGAGTTAGAAAGTAAGTCTCCTCGGGGATTTTAACTTATTCAGCAAAGGAATTCCCAAAGAAAAAGTGTACAATTCTTTGGCTTATCAAAGTGCTTTTTTGCTTTACGAGACCAAATGATCACATATACCACTGGAATATTCAAATATCATCATGCTCATGATATAATTCTACAATCTAACTTATCATTCAATTAAAAATTATTTAAAATTTCTTAAGTTTTTCTATATGACTAGTCTATTAGTCAACCTCGATCCACTTGGGAAAATGGAAAAACGCTTTTCATTTAAATTCCTTACTAAAACACTAATTAACACTAAAACAACATATTTGTGAAATATATTTTACCTTGATGACTGTTTATAAGTGTATTTGATAAAATTCGAACACTCGATTAAAATATTGGAACTATAATTGATGTATGAACGTTAAAGTCTTTTTATTACTATTATAACGTTTATAAAAACGAATAAAGCTCTTCTGAACCCAATTATCATCAATATTATCGACAGACTAATCCACCGTAATTGGAAATTCTGTGTCGAATAACGGACACTCCAGATTGGGTCCAGATGGTCGAGTCCTGGTAAAACAAAAAATTAAATATTGAATACACAGCTTTCTCTGCTATAACTCATAGCTAACAATGCTTGAAGAATTTCCAAGCTTGCGAAAAAGTGCACTGTGAATGGATTTTTAAAAAGAGGAGTTGTTTTAAATATTTTTTATACTGCATAATAAGTTTACTCTGCTTTGATTGACTGTAAGCTATAACAATTTAATTAAATATAATCTCTAGTTTAAAATAATTTTAAAAATAAACCCGGTTTTATATAGTGCAGCTTAAAAAGTACAATTTTAATAATACATTATAAATGACTCGTTATTCCTAAGTGTTTCATAATTTATTATGATTGGTGAAGGATAATTAAAAAAAAAAAAAAACATGCAATCTGTTGTTTATATGTTACTCACCGAGGTCGAGCCGTTGGTGTCAGTCACCTGTAGTACTGAGGCCCAGTGGAAGACTGAAGAGTGAAGGGGAGGGACTTGAATTAGCATTATTAACAGAGCCGACCGTCGACTTCGTACCTCCCACCATCATCAGTGGTGTCTGCGACATGGTACAAATTTGAAACGTGCAGACCCGTTTTCTGAACCTTAGCTTGAAAAGAGAGTAATGGCCGATAATTCAACTCTAAAGTGCATACTGTACTGCAGTCAAATTTTAGCACTGTTGGATTTCCTGTTAAGTTCTTTAGTTGAACAGCCGAACTTAATTGAGCTTAGTAACACTATCTCTAGGTTTATTTGGAATTTCCCAAATTGTTACGTATAAAAGGACAACAATTTGCATGAACATTCCATTTATTTAAATATTTAATTGCTTGAAAATATTACCCGCTGGTTGTGCTAACTTTTAAGTATTGCTTACTATTAAACTTGATTATTATAATAAAGAAATTCCGGTCATAATAAAAGAGATTAACACCAAACTACACGTTGAGTGTCGCAGACGAGGAGTCAAAATCAGTAAACAATACATTTTTTCAATGTAATCTAAAATATAATTCCAAGTATGAACCCAGGATTCGAACCAGAATCGTAGTGAGGCAAATACTTTTGATGTCCTAACTCGACAATCGCAAACTCCTCAGACTGCTTGATGATTTCACGTCAAAAGTTTTTAATTATTCACTATGCCAGTGCATTCTGAGGAAGCAGTTATCAAAGTTGATAACTGTTGGGTTTCTTAATCAGGTTTTTAGTTGAACAGCCGAACTTAATTGGCTTGATAAGGCGATTTCTTAGTTATATCCCAAATAACCTCCAAGAACATTCATTTCCATTTATGTAAACATGCAATTACATGAAGATATTTTCCTTTGGTTTTTGTTGTACTTATTTTTTAAATATTGTTTATTATTAAGCTTGATTATTACAATAAAGTAATTTCTGTCATATAGGAGGGCCAGGGTTCAGACCCGTTGAGTGTCTCAGACGGGAGATTAGAATCCTGTACAGTAATTTTTTCCAAATTAATCTCAAATATAATTCCAATGGTGAGCCCAGGATTCAAACCCAGAACCGCTAGTGGGCAAATAATTGGACGGCGACCCCTCGACCACCGGCGGACTCCTCATGCCTGTTTGAAAATTTCAGTTTTAAAAGTTTTTGATGATCCATCCAATTGACCAGTGCATTCTTAGGATGCAATTATCAAAACGGATTTTTTTTAAATTGGCTTATTGGCTTAATTGGCTTATTAAGACGGTTTCTTGTTTAGTAGGGCCAGTGCACTGAGGAAACATTTCGTCGTAAGACATATTTTAGTAATAGGACACCCTCTGGAGTTCAGTTCAGAAAACAGAGAAAGGGCAAAATTTTACATACTCGTTTATTTCCTTTTATGAAAATCTGTATTTACTAAAAATTAAGCAAGATCCTGGGAATTTCTTATACTTCATTTGTGAATAAAAGAATGATCTACAATGAAAAAAAATCTGAAATACAATTTTTGCGTCATTATATTTAAAATAATATTGGAATTATTTGAGATCTTCCACGTAACTCCCTTATGAAGGTCAACAATTTGCATTTTAACCTTGGTCTTTTTTATGAAAATTTATAATACTACTGAAGACTGTGAGACGTCCCAAATGATAATAACGAGAGGCATTCGGAGGGTTAAGTTGTCCCATTTGGCCAATATTGTATTTTTCAACATTTAAGCAATACAGCACGACATTATTGGCTTCAAAAGACTTTCTTAAGTTAATTGAAATTTTCGCGGAGATTCAATGATAGGAATCAACTTTTTTTTTTGTATTTAAATAAAGTCCTAAACCATGACCTATTGCAATTAGTTAAAAAGGAGGTAGGTGGTCGTAGATTCATATTCGACCAATATTGGCAATTTTTAGAATTCAAATATTGCAATAAAACTTAATTAGCTTAACAAAACAATTTATTCGAATTATTTGAAATTTTCCACGAAACCACCAGAGGAAGGTGAACAATTTACATTGAAACTTGCTCATTTTGTGGAAATTTAGAATCTGATGATTCTGAGTTGCATATATAACGAAAATATAATAAACCATAGAGGCAAACAGGAGTTTTAGTTTTTTGTCTTATTATTTTTGTTAATATTTTGTCATAATTCGATTGTAAAAATTATTTGGAAGCTACGATATTAACTACTGCATTAGGAGAGAACAAACGACAAATTGGACATAAAATTGGCCGTTCTTCTAATTGAAAGTAGTTTAAAAAACCCAATCGACTCGTGGAGACATTAGGTTAGGATAGATAGGGCTAAGTTAGGGTCAGATAAGAGTAAGTTAGATAGGGTTATTGTTACAGTTAGGGTTATGGTTAAGGTTAAAGTCAGGGATGGGTTATACATCCATGATTCAATGTTTTTTCGTATTTATTTGGTCTCGGCATGCCATCGATTTCACGTTTAAAATTTGTTTAATTAACTATAATACGGTCTAAATGATGCCTTCATATAGAACGGTTGTCCAATTTGACCAATATTGGCTTTCTACAAAAAAACACCTTACTTAACCAGGCGGTTCCTGATGTAAATTATATTATAATAAAAAAAAGGTTATCGTCGTTTTTTATTTAAGAATGATCTATAATAGTGATTGTTTGCCTGCTAAGAGATCGATTTTCAAATTTGACCAATTTCGAGATTCTTTTGAATGAAAGTAGGTAGTAATGAAAGGTTGGGCTAGGTTAGGTTAAGGTTCAAATTAAGTTAGGGTTGGGACGAATTAGGTTAGGTTATGGTTAGGGTAAGTGGAGGTTAAGGACGGGTCACATATCCACAAGTCAATATTTGTCCGATCGTTTATTTTGTAAATCTAATATAATTACTCAAGATCCCGCATGTCTAGATATTCAACATTTCAGTAATTCATGCCAACATGGGTCAAAACGATTATAAATATTTGTTATATTTCGTCCTTTTATAAAGTATACTGCATATTGATATAATATTGGTCATTTTAACATAGTTATATAGTTATAGGATATAGTTTTAGGATGGTTACACATTTTTTTTTCTGCGTGAACATTTTTACTCGTCGCTTTATAGTTATTGGTTAATGGGCATGGGTTCGGTTAGGCTAAGTAAGTTTAGTGGATTAGTGGTTAGGGGGTTAGGTAGGGTTAGAGTTAGAATTAGATCAGGTGAATGTAAGACTGACTCTGAACGGGATCGGCTAGTTTGTGTGTCGCGTTTCGAATTTAGTGATTTCATTGCCAAGGTTTTGCCCAAAGCAACCTTACATTGTGGACTACACATGGAAGTAATCGGAGTGTATTTAAACCTATATTCGAAGCGCCAAATTAAATCATGGAAATCTGTGAATAACCATAAAATGGCATGTTTTGGCTATGGTGCATATTCATGATTCAATGTTTTTCCATGAATAGGAGAGAATATCGAATGCGAAGGGCCTGTTTTATGTACGAACATGCCCAGGCGTTTCTTTCTGTGTGGACATTATAAGAATCGTCCGCAGCAGCGACTTCTGCGTGCAAAGAGCAATTTTCAAATTTGACCCATATTGGCATAAATTATTGAAATGTTGGAAGAAATTTCAACAACACCATTGTCTTAGTTAGTACTCGTCATTCTCTCCAGTACTGGTGCTAACTAAAAAAAAAGCTTCAGGAAAAGCGAACAATCGAAACTTATTTGACTTAAGCACAAGGAATTTAAACGAATTTGAAAAAAGGGCAAAATTTCTTAATTTAATTCACCAAAATGTGTGAAAGATGAAAAATAACCTGGTGTAAGATGATACACTAAATATAAGTAAACTGGCATGACTTTTCGATCAACAGATTAAGATGAAAAAATAAATAATTGCATCAGCTGCTCGAACTTAAATTCCATATACAATCGAAAAAGTAAATCATGAACTGAAAAGTTCGAAGGAACGAGGTCGGAGCTGTGACAAGAAAATTCCATCCTTGCAATTTACTGCATATTGTGCGTCGTGCAGAAGAACATTGGTACAACAGGATGTAAAAATTAAGCCCAGTTTTATAACCAAAAACAAACCATGCTTCATTGGCTTATTTATACTTAATATTCATTAAAATTTAGTGACCTTGATCGATTTTAAAATTGATTCACATCACACTAATTAAAATTATGCGGAGAAATGAACCCTGGGAACTGAATTAATTTAATTTTCCTGCTAGGAAGTTTCAACTTCACCACTAAATCTGTAAGTATAATTGAAAAGAAAAGACATGTTTTAAAACTAAACTTTTTTTGCAACGATCTTAACGGGCCGTGAAGTCTTAATAAGCAGTGTATGCATATAGAGAATGAACGGTTCAAGAGGATCCAGATTGTATTCTTTGATTAACATATTAATTAAGAGAGTAGAATTAATTTTGAGGTCAATTTCTTAAACAAAAATCTCTAGAACTTTTACAATACGCCGCAAGACAGAAAATGCGACCCAAATGACATTTAGACATTAAGATTTGTCCTTTATTTTGAGGATTGTCAAGGCAAACCAATTATCAAAAACCGAAGCCGCGCAAAATTTATATTGTATGTTAAATGCCTTATTTTTTCTCTATTAGAAAGTGAAAACAAGAAATGAGACTGAAACAGTGAATAAAAGTGAGTGAGAATGAAATGAAAATGTCTGAGTAGAAACAAGAGCAAGATAAAATGTAAAATATATATGTCCTTAATTATCTCAAGGAAATGAACAAATCAACAATTCTTAACTTTCCTGTAAAAAGTCAATAATATCTAATATTATCTGAGAAGAAAACAGTCACAACCTTACGAAGTCAATATTTAACTTCCAACACGGTTTATAGTTTATTTTATATCTCATCAACGTTTCCATTTCCTTTTATTTCTGTTTTTAATGGCAATTTAGCCTCAGATTTTTAGGTCCGGAGGTTGGGACGTCCTGGCCTAAGCCCCATTTTGGGCACTTTCCATATCTAAATGTCCGGGGGCAACTACCAGCGTTTCGCCCATACGCTCCAGTTCATGCGTGCCGAGAGGGTCAGCGGAGGACACGTCACGGACCGCAGTAACCATGTTGAGGAAGTCGGTACAGACGATGTAGGCAGATCCTCAATCGCCCCGAATCATCCCAAAGCGTACTAAATTACATACAATTTCGCCGTGAAAACGCTACCGTCGTCGTGAGAACTTCGATCTAAATTTCAGGAACAAAAGTTACGGTAAAGGTACGGCCGGTTAGACGACTTGGGTAATTCGGCGAGGTCGTAGGATCCAGGGCGTAGTCGGGCTTAAGTACTGTTTCTAGTGTTATCCCAACCCTCTTTAGGCTTCACGGAAGCATATTCTCAGAGGTCGTTCATATATTCGGATGTAGTCGCATCAAGGATCCCACCCGATAGTTGATGTCATGGTTTTACATCAAAACACCAAAACTCCGTCGCATAGGCGCTGCTCCCTCCAAATTTAGGCGGCAGACAAAACGGTCTCAACCTTTCGACATCAAAACAATTCTTAAAAATACAACTACTTCATGAATTTAAAAAAAATTGAATTGAAATGATACACCATGAAAAATATTTTTAAAAACCTATGCATGATCTTACAATTGCTAGAAAATGTGTAGGATCATGGACAAACCTGTGTCAAAATGCGCAAAAGGAAATGCAATAATATTGAACAAAAAGTATGAGAACATTATTTTTAATAGTTTTAATATCTTAATTAATACATTAAGAAACATTGCACAATTTGAGGGTTACAGAATCAGTTAATAAGAAACGTGTTAATTAAACAAAGTGATCACATAGAAGACAAATAAGATTTCGGAAAGTTTCCCCATTTCTTTTCCCAGTCAAAAATTACAAATCACCCAATATTTGCTACATATTAACTATATTAAAACTCTAAAAACGTCTATCATTCACTCAAACCGCTCGAGATTCAAGAATGATGTGATACAGATGCGAAAAAAAGTAGTAGGGGTTGAGGATTAGGGTGGTGGTTTAGTTATACAAGATAAGTCGGAATCAGTTACTGCGCTCCAGAAACAGTCAAAATTTGAAAGAAGAAAGTGAATATTTCTGCCATCATGCAAAGATTGCTCCTTACAACTGCTCTACTTCTTGTGGGACAGGTTCAATTATTTTCATTTACAGTTATAATTTATTTGTACTTACACCGTCTATTTATTTATTGAGTGTGTGTGTGTGTGTGTGTGTGTGTGTGAGAGAGAGAGAGAGTGAGTGAGAGAGAGAGAGAGAGAGAGAGAGAGAGAGAGAGAGAGAGAGAGAGAGAGAGAGAGAGAGAAATAATTACAGTAGAGAGAGAGAGAGAGAGAGAGAGAGAGAGAGAGAGAGAGAGAGAGAGAGAAAGAGAAAGAGAGTGAGAGAAAGACTTAATACTTTTATTTAATAAGTGTACAACATAGGACAACCATATTCTTCCATCCTGCGAACAAAGTATTATTGAAAGTAAACTTATCTCTTTATAATTTATCTTATCATTATCTTATATAAAACAACAATAACAATTAAATTTAATACAAATTTGTAATTGTTATGAATGAATTGAAAAAAAAGGATGAAGTGGTTAAGCGAGAGATAGTGCGTGAGAACAAAGAAAAGACCACAAATTAGAAAGAAGAAAATAATAAATAAATTGTACTATCTGGACAGAATATCTGCTTTATGATAGTGAGGAAACGAATAATAGATAGGCAGACAGACGAACAAACATGGAATAAAGAGAGAGAGGAAAGAGGAGAGAGGGAGAGAGAGAGAGAGAGAGAGAGACAGAAAGAGAGTGGTAAGAGAAATAAATATAAATACACCTAGAAATAAAGAGAATATTTTTTAAATTTATTTATTAAGCATGGTCCATAAAATATCACATACATTTCGTTTGCACAATAATACAAATAAAGTGCAAAAATGAGAGAAAAAAGATACATTATTGTAAATAAATGCTTTTACACTTTAAGTTGCTTAAATAAATTAAAATAAGTAAGCGTTTTTCTTGTTCTTATTTTTAACAATACTTGAAAATCTGTACAAAGTGATAACGGAAACTAAGGTTTTATTAATCGATAACAATTAATTAGATGAATAAGATTTATTACTACAGTTTATCAACGTTTATTGCTAAAACAAAGTTCCCAAAACCGAACACTTTATCATTTGACACAAAATCACTTTTTAAGAAGTCGCACACAACCGGTCGTCACCAAGAATTTCACCAGCTCGCTTCTTTCGCGTTCGAATATTCCAAGATGAAGATCACGTGGTCCTAATGGTAAACCTGTCGAGGTATGCTCTATTACTCTCTATTCCTCTCATGACAGGATATGGCGTGTGTTGTCCTATAGGCGACATTAATGGAGGATACATTTTCACACATAACAGTAGGGGAAAAATCTTTTGAATGCATCCTTTTTAAAAACATTTTCAAACAGCCTTGGCGGCCAATTATTTTTATACGTAACTACTGGGTACTGCTGAGTAGGATTCTGGAAAGCTCATCCTGAGTTACTTGCTTGGCTTACATGTCTGCTCTTTTGTTACCCAAAAGCCCCCTACATATGAACTAATCCAAGCAATTCGAATCTTGAGTTGGTGAAGTGTAGGTAAGTCGCGTCTGCCCAAATTTGTCCCACCTGTTCCACAATGGCATGTGACAGGAATAATTTTTATGCAATGCAATGTAACCTGACTGTCCGTTCTGATTTTAACGAATAATGAAGAGGATAAAGAAGCTGTGAGAGAAAAGGAATGAGTGAGAGAGAGAGAGAGAGAGAGAAATAATTACAGTAACAAAGAAAGAGAGAAAGTGAAAAAGAGAAAGATAAACAGACACCCAATGAGGAAGTGTAGTACTTAAATATTTAAATGCTAAGAACTTAATTTGTACGATAAAATGTGCAATAACATTTCTATATTAATTATTACAAAGTTAAAAACTACATGAAAAATTTGCAACTTTTTCGTTCGCTATATATTTAACATAAAAAATTAACATAATATCAAAGGTTGTAAATATATAAAATAAAAATAGAGGAACGGGCAAAAAAGTGGGTATAATAAATGTAGAATACGACTAATGTTCTTATTCTCCGTTGTGTTTCAATAAATTTAAAATTAAAATTTAAACGACTGTCATTGCCTTGGTTCCACTTTCAGCATATTTTGCTGTGTTCTTCTAACTGCGCGTTATTTTGAAAGTTTGCCAGTTTCTACAAAACTGTTTTCTTTCTTTGCAACGATATTTCTTTATTTATTAACGTCAATTGTTGCCCAAGTTTTGCCTTATGAAATATTCCAAAGAAAATCCATTTACGTTTTAGTGGTCAATTGTCCACCGTACCTCTTTCAATTAATTATTCTTTCTATATAAGGTAAAAAAATCAGTGTCACGAGCGGTATTCGAACCCACGACCTTCGGCAATATACGCCGCTACTCTACCCACTTGGGCATCATGATTTCGATCCTCTCGGAAACCAACTATCCATCTATTTAGCCGAAGGTCGTGGGTTCGAATCCCGCTCGTGACACTGACTTTTTTATCTCAACCAAGACTTTACATAGAAAGAATAATTAATTGAACTTCCACAGAAAGCTTATGTGTAGGAACGATTTCTTACCGGCTAGATTAGATTCTTATTTCAAACACTTAATCCACCATTTGCCAAAACATAATTTAGACTTGTTATAAATTAAAAGCAATGCATAAATATAAATCTGGATGTGATTTTGCAGGGAGGAGCAACGCCGATCAAAAGTGCGCTGAAAGACCTCTCAGCAAAATGTATCGCGGAGAACAACGCACCCTTAGGTAGTTTCCATTAATTATTTAACATAAAATCACAATTTAAAAACATTGAAATTTCAATCGTGTCTTGATGGCGTAATAACATAGTTGTTTTAGAAGATGCCATAAATCGTTTTATTGTCATATTCATGCGCACTTTAGTACAATTTTACATATTAAATTGAAATCTGAACTGTAAAATAAAATTATAATTAAAATCAACGTTTTTAACCCTGATTTTGAAAAGAAAATGTTTACAAACATTATTGACTCGAGAGAAAACGAAACCTCTTTTGTGACCTCAAATCCTGGTGAAAAGAGAAAAGAACCTTATTACCTATTCATATTCAATTTCAAAGCTCAGACTTTTTACAAATTTAATTGTAGGTTCTTTTAAATTGCTGGGCGGGAGATCGGTGCTATCAGACGAAAGTGAACAGGTAGAGGAATTTTCTTCTGAAAATTTACTTTTTGCACTTTTAAAAAATCATTACATTTTGGCACTTTTTCATTGCAGTGTTACCTGGAGTGCATCTACAGAGGGTTGGGACTTGTAAGTATTAATTTCGTAAAGATAAATAATTCCAAAACGAAAAATCAACAATTTTATTTCAGATCAACGATCAATCGCTCGACGTGACCGTCGCTAAGAGACTTGCTGACAAAAGATATAAAAACAACAATGATCTTGACCAGGCCTACAAAGTCATTGACAGCTGTGCGCAAGGTACAAGAAACAAACATTTTCCTCGTTCATTCTATTTTCAATTCCTTCTTTAATATTTCCTTCCTTAGTATCCTCATCAACATTGCCATTTCATTCTGAATATATATGATATTGTGACTTTCAGTGAGGGCTTTATCTGGAGTGAAATGCGGCCTCGGCGTGTCCGTCAGGAGGTGCATCCTCGAATTCGGCAAAATGGTGAGCTTACACTTGATTTTGAACAAGCTTTTAGTTTTTTTATTAGAGAATTTCTTGTTAAAACAAATTACATATATTAAATAAATTAAATCAAATTGAATTGTTAAAAAAAAAATACGAGTACATTTTTGTCTTTTATGTTTGCAGAACAATTTTTATCTTCAGCAATGAATACTGAACGATGAAGAGAGGGCCGGCAAGTTAAATAATATATTTTATATATTTTTGTAAGCTAAATAAAAGGATTATATCACTTTTCTTCTTGCGACCTTTCGAATCTTATTTTACCTGATACATAACTTTTTCTTGTCATTATTTTTTTAAATAATGTCTCTGACTTCTTGTGTGGCTCGAGGAATGACACTGATAGTGCAAGGGTTTGACCTCTTTCCATCGTCAATTCGTTTAGTAGGTAACTTACGAAACCAAATGTCACAAGTGCTGGTATTTATTTGATTTGAAGAAGAAAAACATAATTTTCTAGCTGCTTCAACATCAGCAGGTTTTTCTCTAAAAAAAAGAGAAAAATAATGCAATCGGAACAAGATCCGAAGAAAGATCAGCGTGTGGAACCTTGACCGGTGGGAAAATATACGTATTGTTCATTACGTCAACAATTATGCAATTATGCTTGACTAAAAGAAGAATTTAATATCAGGAGACTTTCAGCTGCTTATATATGTAAATTATGGTTTTGCGTGTAGTAAACTAGTTTTTAAAAAGAATACTATTTATTACACAGCAAGCAAATACAAAACTGGAATAACCACTTCCAATTAGGGAATCTTCGGTCTATACTCGATGAAAGCCCGAGTCGGATTCTATTAAAAATATTAATATTAGCAAAGGCTTGGGGATGTAATGAAGGAGGGGTTCTTGGAAGTGAACACGTGTAGGTGTGATAAGGGAGGAATGTGAAGGGTTGCAACAGATAAGGGTCTAGCGAGTACGTAACATGTATGTATTAAATAACTAAATCCAAAAATAAATTAATGAATGAACGAGAGGAGAAAATTATTTTATTTTAACTTGGTTCATCTTAAGAATTTTCAAATAAATTTTTTTTGTCATGAACATTTTTTTTAAAAATGTACTTTTAGTGATCTTGTATGCGATTGAATGAATTTTTTTATTTGAAAATTCAAGATGAACCAAGTTAAAATAAGATGATTTTGTCCTCACGTACCTTTATTATGTGGATTTAGTTCGTCTAATCTTACACAATAGCTGTTGTCCTTTTATTAAAAATTGTTTTCCTTTTAACTATCCCTTTATTTTTCACGCTCTGCTTCTTCTTACAATATATTATAGAAATTGAGAATAAAACAAAAAATCCGTCTTTTTTTTTAAATCTTAAATGAACAATTAGATGAGAATGAACATTAATAAAACATTTTCTTAAAATGTAGAACGGAGGTTTATGAAGGCCTCGACACGATACGTACGTGAAGAAGAAGTTCTTCAAACGAAATCATCTTCAGCACCGTCGAGGCCACTGACGAGGAAACAGGCAAATTTATTGGTGTTCTAGCCCTTTAGATATATGCGAAAAGTAGGCCGGTTTTTCCGGGAAGTTGTCTTTTTAACACGGGTTGCAAATCAAAGTTCGTTATTTTTGCACAACTGGTCAATTCTAATATATTTTATATTTTGACTTGACAAAGCTTATTTCACGTACAATTTGATGCAATTGTGCAATAATTTTTCTTCTTGATTTTTATTTCTACAATGGTTCTGTTTGAACAAATGATGGATGCACTTTTTTTACGTTTCAAAATGTTTTGATTTCCATTATTTGACCTATTCCCCAAATTTTCCTTTGAGTGATCTTCTCTCTCTTAACCAGCCAGATTTTTCATTTGTATCTTTGTCAATTTTATTTATATATACAAGGTGAATTGCTACTCGTGCTACAAACTTCTCCAGTAGATTCTTCACCCTAAAATGAACAAAAAAGTTCATATTGTCCATGGTCCGATTCTCAACCATTTCAGAGTAATTTCGCTTTTTATCGATTTTGAAAGATATCACGTCCTGGCGTCGGAAAATCGTGATATCTTTTAATCTAAACATTTCTCTTAAAATCTATAAGCACCGTTGAAATCCCCGTTAATTTTTAGAGAGAATCAAAATCATAATTCCATTGAAATTTTTTAATTTAATTTAATGCCCATTTAGTATGTAATGCTTAAGAAGTTTACAAACAGCTAGAAGGTCAAGGAAGAAAGACCCAAACGTTTTGCCACCTTCATCTTCTTATTGAAAAATTAACGGGGATTTCAACGGTGCTTATAGATTTTAAGAGAAATGTTTAGATTAAAAGATATCACGATTTTCCGACGCCAGGACGTGATATCTTTCAAAATCGATAAAAAGCGAAATTACTCTGAAATGGTTGAGAATCGGACCATGGTCAATATGAACTTTTTTGTTCATTTTAGGGTCAAGAATCTACTGGTGAAGTTTGTAGCACGAGTAGCAAGTCACTCTCAAACATTAGCAATCCTTGAACCACCATTTTTTCTCTTTTTGTCATCAACATCTTGGTCTCACAACCACTAAATAAGAAAATGACGAGTGCGTTGGAAGCGTTATTAAATCAGGTAGTTTTCCTCAAATTTGCTGCCTTCTGAGACTAAAATTAGAAACTCTGGATTACTTTATACACTTTCCGATTTACACAATTTTCCACTCTTTTTGTAGTTCTGGCTGAAATAAAACACAAAAAATTAGCCCAAACATTTTGCCACCGTCATCTTCTTATTGAAAAATTAACGGGAATTTCAACGGTGCTATTAGATTTTCAGAGAAATGTTTAGATTAAAAGATATCACGATTTTCCGACGCCAGGACGTGATATCTTTCAAAATCGATAAAAAGCGAAATTACTCTGAAATGGTTGAGAATCGGACCATGGACAATATGAACTTTTTTGTTCATTTTAGGGTGAAGAATCTACTGGAGAAGTTTGTAGCACGAGTAGCAATTCACCCTGTATATGTATATCTAGATACAGTCGGTTAATTTGTACTTTTAATTTGTATTTTTGTGATGCCCAGATGTATTCTTTAAGACGGTAGGGGGATGAGGGACAGGGATGAAAGAGGCTGCCCTAAGGCCTTCCTCGGCCTGAGGGTCTATTGTGTTCCTCTTAGTTTTTACAACAACTTCAGGTTGATCAACCTAAAATGCCTTACCAACGGCTCCTTAGTGTAGAATCATAAGACAGGAAAAAATAGGAAATTTGTAAAAAAATGTTGATAGATCTGATGGGTTTTGAAACTTGAACACAGTGGTTACATTCTTGAATTCACGAAGTTTTTTTAAGACAAAAAAACCACCAGATCTATCAATATTTTTAAAAATCTGCATTGCTATTTTCATCATTGAAAAAGAAGGTTGTGCAGTTCATCAAAATTCCCATTACATGATAAATAATAATATACGGATTAAAATTATTTATTTATTAGGATATATATGAGATAGTGAAAGACAGAGGAAATATACGCAAAGAAAAATAAAGATGGAGAAAGAACGACACACCATATATTTATTTATATACACGAGAGAAAGAGAGAGAGAAAGAGGGAGAGAGAAAGAGAGAGAGAGAGAGAGAGCGAGAGAGAGAATGAACATTAATAAAATATTTTCTTAAAATAAAGGATCGATGTTTATGAAGGCCACGACCCGATACGGATATGAAGATGAGGTTTTCAGATAAAATCAGCACATAATCAAGGCTACTAACAGGGAAAATAGGCGAGGAAAAGTTGAAAAAAGGTAGAGTATGAGAGAGAGAAAGAGAGACAGAGAGTGAAAAAGCCAGGTGGGGAGAATAAATACATAAAAGGAAAGAAATGAAAAGAAAAACGCCTTATATGGAATAAATATAACAACTTTAATAGAAATGGCATATGGTGGAATGAGTGTTTTGTTCAATCATTCCAAAAAGATATTTCCCACTTACTGTGAGTGAGAACTATCTTTTTAGAAAGATTGAACAACTTTGATGTTAATGTAATGATAAAGTAGTTTATTTTTCTTTCTTAACATGCCAGATTTTTAATTTGTATCTTTAGAAAATTTTATTACAAAAAACAAATTTTATTAGTATATAAAAAATATCTGGATAGTTTACTAACTTTATGATGGATAGTCAAATATTAGACAGGCAGACAAATGAATAAACAGGTTGAATGAAGAAAGAGTGAGTGAGTGAGAGAGAGAGAGAGAGAGAGAGAGAGAGAGAGAGAGAGAGCGAGAGAGTGAGAGAGAGAGACATAGACAGAGAGTGAAAAAATCAGGAAGGCACAATAAACGCTTACAAGGATAGAAAAAGAGAAAAAAACGGCNTCTCAATAAAGATCGAAACGTTGGCACGATAAAGAAAATGTTTTTCTGAAACCTACATCACACCAGACCGCATCTCACGATTTCTGAATAAAGATAGAATAAAGAAAGTGAGAGAGAGAGAGAGAGAAAAGAGAACTAGAATAAAAGAGAAAGAAGAAGAGTGAGAGAGAGCTAGAGTATAAAATAATACTAATAAAGAGTACATTATTAATTTATACAGTGACCTGATTTATTTGTTACTTGGCGCAAGGCTCCTTTTTTATGGAGGGGGAAGGAGAGGAAATGGCAATTTAAAATACATGACTATCCCTGAAGTGTCGCGAACACATGAAAAAGAAGCGTCCTGTAAAGGAAATCGGGTGTTGCTACAACGAAGGACTTCAAATTCCCTTGAAATCAGATTTATTCTAGAGCCGGTGGAAACCTTCGGACCGGCGAGTTTGCAAATTTACAAATGGCGGTATTGAACAAGCCAGCTGTGCCAATCTGTTCAAATTAATAACCACTACAATGTAGTGTGCATTTAATAGCTGGCCCAGTAATTCGACGAGTCCTTGTAACTGAAAGACACGTAGAGGACTTCTCGTTTCATTTGGTTGGAATTGGGAGAAATTGGCTTTATTACGGTTTAGCGTGTCATATTAGTCAAACATGCAACGACTATCAGCAAATAAATTTAAGCACCTTGTCTTTACCATTAAGGTCATACTGACCTTTTAGAACTCTACCAAAACCAGCAAAAAAGTTCCATGCTAAGCAAAACCGATAAGCTAAAAATCGGTTATAAAAAATCACCCAAACTTAGATTGATTTTAAATAAATACGATTGACCACTGATGCAAACGATAACAAATAAACAATAAAGAGAGAGAGAGAGAGAGGGAGAGAGAGAGAGAGAGGAAGAGAGAGAGAGAGAGAAAGAGAGAGAGTGAGAATGAAAAAGTCAGGTGCGGTGCGGAGAATAAACACATAAAAGGGTAGAAAAAAAACTAGACCAAACTAAACTATGTTGAACCGGCACATGAGTTCGCCAACTCGCAGACCAAACCCCATCATCTACTAAACTAAACTAACTGTATTTTAATGGTTTAATAAGACATTTAAAAAAAAGAAATATATAAACATCAAAAGCGAAACAAAATTTGTGTAAAACGTAAGGCATGAAGCATAAAAAGCAATAAGTAATTAAGGAAAGAACGGTGATAATATTGAAAGGACACAACACAAAAACCCAGATTTGCATTGAACCAAAGTAGACAACAGCACAAAATCATTACTAGCTTATTTTGCGCACATAGACGATCTACAGAATAACAGACAGATCGAACACTGAAGATTGCGAAACGCGAGAATAAACAGACCAGGATAATCGAAGAAGATTACTACCAGCATAATACTAATTAGTATATAATTGGTATATATATTATTAAAATAGATTTAATTTATCATATATAAATAATTTATTGCACTCAACCTAAAACTTTTTTCTTGTAGTTTGAGTGTTGACAGACTATACTAAAATATATTTATGTTATCATCATTGATTGAAGAAAGATGGAGAGGCGTGAAATAAAAACAGAAAATCATTAAAGACATATCCCTAACCAGATATCCCTAATCGATTACGCAAAAATGGTCACATGAAAATATGTGTATCTATCCTAAAAACTATCTATGTTAAAATTTAACTTTAAATATTAAATTATATCCGCAACACGGAAAAACATTGAATCATGAATATATAACCGAACCTGTCTGACCCACTGTCTCCGGATTGATGATGCAAAAATGGCCCCGCAAAAAAATGTGTATCCAGCACAAAAACATATCCATATTAAAAATTTTCTCCGCATCACGGAAAAACATTGAATTATGGATATGTAACCTAACCAGTCCCTAAACTTAACCCCAATCCTCCTAACCCTACTTAACATAACCCGTCCCTCACCATTCATACTCCCAATCATGCGCTTTCCTCGAACGCAAAATCGATGACGCCAAAATGGCCCCGAAAAAAAATGTGTATCCAGCACAAAAACATATCCATATTAAAGATTTTCTCCGCATCACGGAAAACAATTGAATCATGGATTTGTAACCTAACCAGTCCCTAAACTTAACCCCAATCCCAATCGCAAAATCGATGACGCCAAAATGGCCACGTAAAAAATATATATACTAGCCAAAAAACATATCAATCCTAAAATTCAGCGTTAATGATTTTCTCCATATCAAGGAAAAACATTGATCATGGATAGTAACGTAACCCGTCCCTACCCGTAACCCTACATAATATCACTAATTCCTAACCTAATCCATGTGCACTCTCCGGTAATGTGAAATAGATGACCCAAATGGTCACCTCAATGGTGGCTTTAAAACGTATCCATGTTACATTTTAACGTTACAGATTTATAAAAATAGAAAAACATTGAATCTTGGATATGTAGCTTAACCAATCCCTAACCCGAACGCCACCTAACAGTTCGTCCCCAGTTATGCGAAAATGTACTCGAAAAAATATATGTATTCCAACCCAAATACATGTTAAATGGTTCAAAACAAGTTTCAAAGTTACTGCTAATACGAATTTCAAATCTCTCTACTTCACGAAAAGTGGTTCTTTTTCACAAAAGAATTTTTAAAAATTATACTGTCATTATATCAAATGCTGGAGCAGAAAAATAAAGACGATAAAATCGATTAAATAACACTATTTTATAAAACAATATATAGAAAGAATAGAGGTCGTGTAAAGTAGAGAAGGAAGAACTGAGAGAAAGAACAAATGAAAGTATAGAAAATGATAAGTAAAGATCGGGAGATAGATTAATATAACAAGTAAAATAACTAACTATAAATAGATAGAAATGGGAAGAAAAACAGGTTGTATAAATAAACAAACGATTAGATACGTAGAAAGAAGAATCGGTAGATCATGTAGATTATAGTAAATTATAAAAAGAAAGAAAGAGAAAGAGATGCAATAAATAAAAAAATAGAAAGAAAAAAAACGATAAATAAATACAACGAATATAGAACAAGACGAATGATAATATAATATCCGGATAGACTATCTATTTTATTATGGGTGTCTAAATAATAGTCAGGCAGACAGATGGATAAACCGACAGAAAAAAGAAAGGAAGGGAGAAAGAGATGGCTAGATAATGAACAAACCAGATAGGGTGATAATAAACCTATAGGCATATATCAAATGTTATAATAAAAATAACTAAAACTTTGTTTAATAGACTTCAGGCGTTTTCGTACCGAAAGTTGACTTGTAATCTGTATTTGTTAGAATTAAGTTTTAAAAACAAAAATTATATCTGTAGAAATCGGCATTGGCACCGATCAGCGGCTATCTGTTTTCTTCAGCGGAAAGTATGCACTCGGATCGTGGTGATGCATAACGTCCTGGCTTCACTGACTGGTTGCATCCTTGGCCAAGACCGGTCCAGTCAAGGTATTTTTGCCTCCACCAGGTTTCTGTGTTCATATAAATATTACCTCTTTCCGTTAAGCTTCAGACACTTCTTCGACACCGTTCAACTTCAAACTTGAAAGTTCAAACAACCCGACGAAGCAAAATGAACGCCAGGCTTGCTATCCTCATTTTGACAGCCGTCGTCGCTCAGGTTTTCGTGAGTAGTGCTCATTTCTTCATCAAAAGTCATTAACATAAAAGTTATTACGAAGCATTAAAAATCTAGTAAAATAGTTTTATTATTCTATTCCTAGATAGGCTTATGAAAATCACAAGAAATAACATCTTTTTTAAAATATCACTGATCAAAACTGTTATAAAAATTCAAAAAGTAAACTACTTAATTTATAATCTATCAATTGAACAAATAAAATTTTAAGTCTTTTCACTGGTTTTCGGTTTTTCTTACTGCTTGTGCTCCAAAAGAAGAACAAGAACAGCTCCTTCGGTACGAGTTCATTCTTTCGGCAACAAACTTTAACTACTTGTTTTTTTATTACTAAAGTTTAAGCGTAATAAAACACGTTTATATTATTTATTTATTATTTGAAAAATTATTATTGAAACTACAAAAGAATTAAAAATGTGACTTAGCACCCTTTATCGTAGCAGCAATCCACAAAAATACTGTTTCAATTTTCAATTTTCTTAAATATTTCATTTTGGTTAGTTAATAAAACAGTCATCATAATCAATTTCAATTGTTTTTTATTTGACACTAAATGCCTAAGTATGTAAGTAGTAAACAAAATCTTCACCATCTGATAAAAATAGCTTTCTAGATTTACAGTTAATGATAGTTTTTAGTTATTTTATTATTGATCAGTTTGAGTTTAATGGTATTGTATCATCATGACTTTTTTCAATCAAACATATTTATTTTTAGGGCCCATCAATCCATAAAATTTGTGTTTTCAATGTTCAGAAATATTTCTTTTTGATTAGTTAATAAAAAGTGATCACAATTAATTTTACACTTTTTATTTAATATTAAATATGAAGTGTGTATGTATGAAGTATGTAAGTAGGAAACAAAGTCCTCACCACTTGATAAAAATAACCTTTTCAGTTTACAGTTTATGATAGTTTTTACTCTCAACACGACACACAAGAATGGCACACTTACGCAGAAAACAAACACTTTGAGCCCTGAAGATGATCTCATTAAAGATCGAAACGTTGGCACGATAAAGAAAATGTTTTTTCTGAAACCTACATCACACCAGACCGCATCTCACGATTTCTGAATAATCATAGTTTTTAGTTTTTTCACAATTGATCAGTTTGGGTTAATCTAGCATGCTTTTCTTTCTTTCTTTTTTTTTAAATCAAACATTTATTTTTGATTTTTTGATTCCTAATGCAAAAATGTTATTAATAGACAAAGTGATAATTTTTCCAACTTCTAATAGGCTTTCCTGCTTTGAGCAATTATTTTCCAGGAAAGCAGTTGAACCTGGATTATCTCATACATTTGGGTTTAATTGTGTGGTTTCTGATTTTACAAGCACAACTTACCTTTTTATTTAATCTGATATAATTAAATAGGTTTACAGTGCAATTCTTTGACTGATTAGTTCACTTTTTTCTCTGATTTATCGTACTTCATGAATAATTAAAACACGATGAGTGCGACTCATATAAGACATATTTTCAAATAATCAATCGTATATTAAACAGTAAATAATTAAATGCACAATTTTATTTTAGTGTGCTTCGACTCACAATCCGAACCACGAGGGCCATTCTGAACATTCGGTGAAAGAAAAAGTACTTGCTCTCTCGAAGAAATGTGCTGCCGACAACAAAGTTTCTGCTGGTAATAAATTTATACATTGCAATTTAAAATGAAAATTTATATTTCATATTATCACATCATCTAAATTTAATAATTTCAATACGTTATACATTCATTTATAATTTTTTTCAATTTAAACGATAAACTGATTTCTTTAATTTTTAAAACTTTTTAAAATAGATTTTTGTCTAAATTCTAACAGTATACAAATAATTATTGACAATAAATTTAAAATAATTTGTTTTACAGACCAAGCTAAGCTTGCTTTCACTCAAAATTTGCCCAAAGACGAGCATGAAAGGGTAAGCATATATTAAAACTAAATTGAATTGTTTAAAATGAGATCATAAATCTAATACCTAAATTATTTATTTTAGTGCTACCTTGAGTGTGTTTACACCGGAGTTGGAGTTGTAAGTTGACATAGCCTTTTTTCTTTTTTAATCCGCCTGAAAACAAATTTTCCAAAAATATTTTCTCCCCGTAGGTTCACAGCGGTGCTTTTAGTCTTGATGGAGCCAACAAACTAGTCGCAGCGAGGTTTACAAACCCCAAAGAAAAAGAAGCCGCTGGCCAACTTGTCTCTACATGCGCCAAAGAAAGTACGTCATAGATTTTATGTAATTATAGTAATAGCGATAATGGCATTTGGTTAATTAATTATTTATTTCTTTTTTAGTCACCCAGAAAGGTGGTGAGAAATGTTCCCTTGGTCACACAGTCAGGGAATGTTTTGTCAGACATGGAAAACAGGTGATTTTCCTATACTAGATTTTTTTAGAAGTTTTATTTTTTCATTTTTCTATCCGATTTTCTTAATTTTTCAGGTCGACTTTTTCCCAACTGCATAGACAACACAATCACGTTATATTTAAGTAATCGCTGCACTTAATTAGTTTAGTAAATTAAAATATATTAATTTATTGTCACAAAAACGAATTTTATTTCAAAAAGTACCCACCTATTAGGTCATTTTTATTAGATTTTATAAAGGAATTTAGAAAAAAAAATCTATAAGATAATTATATTCATTTTAAACTGATCAAAAAAACAAAAGCACTATGAAATATGTTTTACTAAAATTTTCTATATTTAATATTAATAACGAATCATAATAATTCAAAGTTCGTACTGTGTAAGTTCCTGTTATTCAAAAGGGCTAACCGTTGGGTGTCGATAACGAAGGGTCAAATCATTTTACAATACTTCGATATAAACACACTTCAAATAAAAAGTCATGGGCTGTGCCGGGATTCGAACCCAGGAATACTAGCGTGGCAAATACAAGTCGTACGCCCTACCTACTCAGCCACAGCAGTCCTCCAGCCAAAGTTCATATTAAATTTTGTCAAAAACTGATCAGTAAGAACGGCTAAACGTGAGAGCCACAACTCTGTTTGTTGAATAATTTTACTTATGAGCTTTTCCCTATCCGATTCGAAATGACTGCAATTATCTACTAAGTGTACCCAATCTCATTGGTAAGCAGCTACATCTGTTGTTTTCCATTGGTTCAAGGTACAAAATAACCGTAGAAGAAATTCAACCACTGAAACCGAGCCTACTAATCAAATTCCTTGACGAATTAGGACTCACCGGTGTGCCTGGGGTACATCTACATCTGCATATTCCATGCGGAGAATTTGCCTTGGATCACACGAGAAAATTGGATTAATTACTTTTTCTCCTTTGTATATTATCTTGAGGGCGCACGTGAGTAAATAACTAAAAAGATCAATAGCTTAAAAACAAAATTCACTGTTGAAAAAAGTATCTTTCTTCAATAGATTTTAAAGATCTCGGTCCTCTATTAAACATAACGCGCACACACATGTACACAACACACACACACACACACACACACACACAGACATACACATACACAGAGAGAGAGAGAGAGAGAGAGAGAGAGACCAATTTCCGGTATGCATTTGTTAGGTTGCTTTTTTGGCACCATTATAAAAACTAAGTCAGAACAAAAATAAATTTTTATATAAGTTTACATTTATTCTCATTTTATTCATTGATACATTTATTTATTTTTAAATTAAAATACGCGCAATTATTTTCAGTGTTCAACACGTTTAAAATAAAATAAAGTAATGACAAAATATAAACTGTTTATTTGCAACGCTTCGCATTAAATTAACAAATAAAAGGTGTGCGAAGTTTGTCCAAACATAATGCCAATTTCACAATTTGTGGTTAATATATAAATCAATAGTTTATCGAATTATATATGAAATAAATAAAGTTTACACAAATGAAGCAGTGGCGTGGTATACTTTTCTTCTTTTCGTCTTCTGAACAAGTCTGTAGTTGTTAACTAGAACTGTCCCTTCTTTTAACTGTAGATTTTTAAACCATTCACTCTGGAAAAACAGAAAAAAAATTTACTAAATTTATTGTTTGAAAAACGGATTTGCTGTCCTGCAGTTTTTAAGTCTATTTTCATTGTGTATTAGATAATTATTTGAAGGGTTTGCACACCTGTTTTTTAGAGATTGTCCTTTGCGTTTTGAAAATAGTCCATATCACAGATTCTTCACATCCTGGAGTTGTAAGGGACCCAGCATATCGGTAATATTCATTTGTTTCTTCTGGAAGAAGCTCTTCAGCAGTTAACGAACTGTTGTTTGACTTTGACTCGATAGCTTCAATTAATTTTGCTACACCACTATCTTCTTGTCCTATTTTCTAATAACGCATTTTAAGACTCTTCAGATTTAATTCTATTCATTATTGTGTTATCTTACGTAAAGAATTGCAAGTACTGCAAGGCCGTTTTCATGATTATTTGCTTCAGCTATTCCCGAGTAAATGGTTTTGTAATGTACGACATGAAGTTCTAGCGCGTCCCTGTTTAAATTTTAAACTTTACACATATAATTTTTAACATTTAAATTTAAGTTTACCTCTTGTTGTTTATGGTGTGTTCGGCGTTCCAATGAAAATGGGCAGATTCCAATCTGTAAAGTCCTCTCAAACCACCTGCTGCAATACCTAGCTCGTGATTATGCTGAATAACTGGATGTAAGTAAACTGAAAAAACACTATTGGAGTAAAACATGTTGTCGCTTAATGTTAGGAACAAACATACTAGTTGTCGGCGTCACTTCAAATTTGAACGTGCACAAGTTATAGTTTATAAAAACAATCGGAAGTGCTGACGGTACGTCTGAAGTCACATGAGGATCGATGTCAATCGGAGATTGTAGGTTGCCAGTTTTACAAAGCCCTGGCCAATCTGAAAGCACAACTGCATAAATAAAACATTCGTTACATTTTTTCTTTTATATTCAATGAAATTAAAGAAGAACTGAACTCACTTGCACCATTGTGATCATACAAGTTTGTACCCTTTTGAGTTTGAACTGTTTCTTGTAAATTACCTAAAATCAAACTATGTTAATGACCAACCCAAAGTTCAATCGCTCTTCTTTCACATGATTAATCTTTATAAAAAAAAGGTGTTTTAGAATTAAAAACTACATACTTAAAACATAAAAATATCAAGCCTGGTATTAAAAAAAAACACTTACTTATTACTTCATTGTCAATCTCCGGAGATGGACGAACATCAGGTAATCCGGTGGTTAAGAGTATAAGAATTATCTGGTTGCTCAAGGACATTTTCTTTGCCCTATAGAAAGAAGAAATATTAAAATTAATACCAGGGAAATGTTTTTAGTTTGTATTTAGTCATCATTATTAGCTGTTTAACCGAATAAATTCTACGTATGACCTGGATTTCTTGTAGGTATTCAACAGGATCTAGAAAATTCATATTTCAACATACCATGGCAACAAATTGAGCGTGTATGCAGTCTTTAGTTGTTTGGTCGTCATGGGCTGGCTTAAACTTGCTTTTTTAGATGTTTCACTAACCTAAACTATCTTTAAAATTTTTATTTTTTATGTTTTGAAGTGAATACTATAAAAAGACTGGAGAATTTATAATTTTGAACGTAGTTTGTGAACAGAAAAAATTCTTATTAGGTACAAGATTTTAACTTATTATATGCCACTTCTCCTTAGCGAATGACATCTGTTCGAGTTTATGAATGAATGAATTTTATCTAAAAATTCGCAAAAGACCTCTCTTACGATTAACGATAAATTTAAAGAGAGAGAAATAGAGAGAGAGAGAGAGAGAGAGAGAGAGAGAGAGNGAGAGAGAAAGAGAGAGAGAGGAGAGAGAGAGAGGAGAGAGAAAGAGAGAGAGAGAGAGAGAGGGAAAGAGCGTCAGAAAGGAGAGTAAAGTGCGAAAGAAAGAGAGAAGTAAAAGAGCAAAAGAAATAGAGAGAGGGAGGGGAGAGAAAGAGAGAGAGAGAAAGAGCGAGAGAAAGAGAGACAGTAAAAGAGCAAAAGAAATAGAGAGAGAGAGAGAGAGAGAAAGAAAGAGAGTAAAGAGCGAGAGAAAGGGAGACAGTAAAAGAGCAAAAGAAATAAAGGGTGAGAGAGAGAAGTGTGTGTGTGTTGCTTGCCCCTTGACCTTAAAAATCTATTAAAACACTTAGCGTTAATTAATATAATTATAATTCAGACTACAAGCCAACAATATGAACACATTCTGAGGATACACGACTTTGGACTTGGTATAATAAATGATCTTTAAAATAATTACACAAATTACTTATGTTTATATGATATACAATAATTAATCGCAATGGAACAATTTCACAACAGAAAATTTAAAAATTTGAATTTTCGTGAGCACAATTGTTTTAAAACAGATGGTTCCTAATACTAAATTTGTATGACTTTTTAGAGAATTAGTGAAATTCAATGTTTTGTTTGTTAGAGTTTGTTTAGTTGTTTGAAACGGAATATGTCGAAGATTTCACTACTACGGGTAAAAGAGAAAAAGGATCAGAGCACCTGCATGTCACCCAGTTTTCTATCACAATTTAACAACGTCAAAAAAAAGAAAAGAAAAGGTATAACAAGTGATTATTTATCAGTCGGCACGTTAATTGATTAGTGTATAGCGTAATCAGCACACAAACAATATTAGTAAGGAGAGACAGTATAAGTATAATCAGAAAAACAGCTAATGACACTAAAGAGTAAATAAATGATATAGAAACCCTTCCGACCTTCTAAAACTCTAATTTTCTTCATTCCTATCAATATTACATAGTAATATAGAAAATAAAAATAACATTTCGATATAATCCAGGCTGGAAAATAAAAAGGACTTTTGGACCTGTGGTCAATGTATATTAATATCTCTGTTTATTTATTTATTATGTTTATATGTTAGTCCAATCACCATGCCATTATCGATGCTGAAACTTTTCTTTGTTGTTGTTGGCTTAATCTATTTATAAATTGAACATATAAATAACGTGTAGATTCATAATTACCAATAAATATTTAATACAATTTAGGTAATTAACAAAAATGAATATTTATATACATGTTTGAAAATTAACATAACGAATTTTCTAAAAAGTAAATACAATCAGCAATATTGTTGGATTATGAGATATAGAAGGCGAAAAATATAATAAACATTATAAATTAATCATACAAAATAAAAATGTTCTAAACCATCTATAAGTGAAGAAAATAGACCCATTCATTTTTCTTCAATTGATTGACGATTCATATAAAATGTGATGCTCAGTTTAAACGGATGATACAAAATTGGTAGAGAAAATACAAAAAAAAAATTACTTATATTAATTTAAAATATACTAAAACGCCTGTAAAGGCGAAGAGGTCCATCCATTTTCTTTCAATTGTTGGATGATGCTTTATATTCACTCTTATATTTATGAGAAATATGTGTACGCTCGTATTTGCACATGTATCTCGAAGTCCATCGGCAAATCGAGCTTTTGTATTTACAATAAATTACCAGCAGGTTACAAGAATCACCCTCCCCGGTGTTGGCAGTTTGGGGTTAAACTTATCCATCCAGCTACTGAGGTTAGGCTCTAGAGGCAGCAACATCTAGGTCCGCTCAGCCCTCTCGGGGTACTCATTATTCCGCCCTCTCCCACCAAACAAGCACACCAATAAATACATTCACTCTCAGCACACACTAGGAAACTCAATGTCAATATTATATACAATAAAACAACCCTGTTTCCTCCAAGAATCGATAGAGGGGACCCAAATATGTCATGCTCCTAGGTAGTAGGTGGCATTCCTACACGCTCTCTATATAGAGTCAAGGAATTGCACCCTTCAATTAAATGCACGGGGCACGTTAAATGCTTGAAATCCGGATCGTTGTAAATAACATATCTGTGATTAGAACCATCTTTTACAAAAATTGAATCTACATATTTCACCTTCATCATTTATATTGTATTTATTTGTAAGAAAAACATTTATTATTGCATTCAGCCACTGACACATTTATAATTATTATAGAAAATAAATAACTATGACAAGATTATTAAAAAAAATTCATTTTGCGCAGTCTATCCGTATGAGTGCAGACAGCAGTACAGCTTGGAAAAAGAGCCCGAGAAGAATGAAAGCGAAGAAAAGACGCAGATCGAAAAGATAAACATGGGCTACTTGAACATGCTTAAAACGCATCGAAAAAAAGTAATCGAATCTCTTATGGTGCAGACGTGTTGGAGGCAATTTAAACCGGAGCCACACAGGAGGAAAAGAAGGAAGAAGAAAAACCCTAGAACGATTGAACCTCTTCCTGAGTTGATTATCAGTGGCGAAGAAAGCGATGACCAGCAGCAGCTCAAACCCCCGTTTTATATTAATTGAAGTGAAAGCAGACAAACTAATTTTTAGCATGAAAAATTTTATTGCGATAAAATATGTTGTATCGTCATTCCTTTATTTATTTGTTAATTTAAATAACGTAGAAAAAGGTTTTGAACAGTTGTGCAATGGCTGCTGGATGGTTGGTTTGTCATAATGGAAATGCCCTTCTTTTGTGAGTTTTGATGAAGATCTACCAATTTTGGTTTTACAGAAGCCTGAACGAATACGATAGTTAGGTCTTTAGGTTAATAGAATACTGGTAATTTTTTTATTCTTCACTCCAGATACGAGGCGGAATTCACATTCCCTATGTACAATCTAACATATTCAGGGTTTATCGGGTTACTTGATAGTTCGCCATGGAACTTCATGCATATCATATATATCACATATTCATGCATGCTAAATATATTCGCACACTCCATCGCCAAGACGCAAGAATAATCTCTACTCTATTACAACAGGATAAGCACGACTAAGGAACCATTGTCACGGGCGACTTGGCAATACGCTCCCTATATGGAGCCAAGATGACATTTCCATTATGTACGGACTCTGGTTTACACGGTCTTAGTACTAAACTATTCCATTCACTTATCACTTAGCCTGACTAATTATTACATAAAAGTACATAGTTTAATTTATCTGAAAACAGGAGGTGTTGGATACACTTAATCATTACAATTATTAAGATTTTATGCTTTGTAGAGGAAAAAAATAGTATGTAATGAATTATTAATTTGTTCAGAAAGATTTAATGAGTGGCAACAATGAAACAGAAATAAAAAATAAAAACCTTTATTACAAACAATTTTATAAATAATCTGCTATAATAAAATTCATGTAATCATTATTGTACATGTTCTGTGTGAATTTTCGTATAGAATTTCAAGATAAAGATAATACAGGCGCCAAGAAATGGCCGAAATTCATTGCAAACCTTAGGTCGATATTGACAGTAATTCAGCAATTCGTCATATCTATTTTTTCTATCTTTCACTTGATAAAAAATGCTTATCTTGATTGATAAAACAATTTTTACTAACCTACTGCGGATAGATTAGGCTTCGATTTATGCTGTTTGTAATCCGAGTCATGCCGAATTAAAAATAGTCCAGAAATGAAATTTATTTTATAAATTTACATCGGTCATTCTGAGGCTATTCTAGACGTCTATATTCGAATTATTTGCAAGAATCTTCTCAATTTTTAGCCATAATACAAATTATTTTCGTAATAATTATAACGAAACAAGTTGGATTGTACTTCAGAATATTCATCAATTTCATATTGCCCCCACGTAAGATATAGTTACCCAAAAATAGTTTTCAAACTTATTACAAAAGTTTAAGACGGTTTAAACCGAAAATAACAGGACCCAAATATGGCCTATAACAAAGCATGTATTACACAGGGAATACACGTATTTAAATATTTATTTTTTTAGAGAGAAAAATTGACATACCTCATAAAATAAATTGGAGTAAATTTCTAAATTTGTACTTGCAACGGAAGACAAGCGAGGTTCATGGTTATAACTGGCCTTTACCTGGAAGTACCGTTTAAAACCGAACGGATTAACGAAAGTTGGTTACATTAAACTAAGATCCATTATTAACCCACAAATTTGGGTCGATTTTTCTTTATGAAAGGGTATAACCAATTTTTTAAAATGACCCTTTAGCTTTATAATTCGGTTGGAAAGGACCTTACTTCCTGTAGCCCTGTGTACAAGCTAATCTTTAAATCATTCTAATCGATTTTAAATTATAGTCTATATACAATTAAAAATGACTAGTACATGTCGACCGTTGGCAATGCGCCTATAATAAATGGCCCTTAGATATAAAATAGAGCTATGACGAAGAGGAAAGGCAGCATAGACGCCCTGATGAGCGTCGCTTCCCCAAAGTCATCAGTGTAATCAATGCCTATTATGCCGACACCGTAGATTTTTCTGTGCCGATCGGAGAGCATCTCGCGGTAGTTCTCCTTAAGAGGTTTTCCTTCCAGAACGACATTCGGGAACCAGTTGACCTAAAAAAAAAATAATCATATTAATATTTGATTTAAGACAAGATAAAAGTGTACATTTGGCAGGCATTCCAAAAATTTATTAACAAAGAGAGCAGGACTCTGTGAAACCTTTTGACTGAAGGTCAAAATAGGTAACAGTTTTGCGCAAATTTGTTTCACTTTTGAAAATATCCGTTATGAAGAATAGATTTTAGCTTTCAGAATAGAAGTTTAGCTGAACATGGCTGAATAAAATGATAAAAATTCGAAGAAGAATCTATTTTTGAAATTCCTCAATCGCTGAGTCTTGGCTGGAGTGAGTCCGACCAAAACGGCGAGAACAAGCGGGCTAAGATGGCCAGTGACCCTGGAAACGCTGACATACATCTAGGACGGTCATCACCATGGCTGTCCCTGGTTGTTGGCTATCATTTCCACTACTATAATAAATGAAAGGGTAATACACAAAATTACCAACATAACAAAATAAAAAAAACTTTCTGTAAGACACTCATTTCTGTCACATTTCAAAATAATGAAACGTGTCTGAACAACATAACTTATTAAGGTACAATGCAACTCCAGTAAACGAAACATCAGCCAGGTTGTACCAGAATAACGGATAGGATGTCTACATTTTGAAGTCATTATTGACATTAAGCCATTAAGTGCGATCCTGTTTGGTATTATCAAACTCCACTAAATCGAATTTTGCTCCAGCCGAGATGAAATCGTGATTTCCAACTTGTTATATGAAGCGCTGAATGAAGTTGGTAGTACCCAAAATTACCCAATGAATAAATAACAAAAGAGCAAAACTATAATTTCGATTATTATTGTTGTAAGACCAGTAAGGCGAAATATGACCGTAGTTGCTTAGGTTATTGGCTAGCATTTTTAAATTTTCATATATTACGCTCAGAATTATCCAACTCGTGAAAATGATCTATTGCTTCAGTCGAGATCAAGGCCTTTGATTCCTCAACTTGTGATATTAAGTAAGTATCGAGGCACCAAAGGAAGGCTAGCACAAAAATTTTAAACAAAAATTAACCAGCTTTCATAAATATTTTCCTTAAAGTTATCCACCGTTTGCCACCATCCACAGCGTAACCCAGACAGTCATAAAGTACAATGCAACTTTTGTGTCCTGCTTAATCCAGCTGTATGAAACATATCAGCAATCTGTCACATAATTTGACTACAAGTTCTATAATTTTTGAGTCATTATTAAGATTATTACTCTAGACAAGGCGATCTTACTCGGTACTATGCAACTCATACAGTTGGTTAGGGTTGAATGTATACTTATTCTTTGTAATCACCATGGAAATGTATATTTAGATGATTGTAGATCATTAGAGGATAGAATACAAAAGTTTTTCACCTGTTCTTGCGATACTGTCTGCCTTTCCGTAAAAAGGGTCCAAACGACGGCTTCTGAGCATGGCGGCGTCGTTAAAGATCCTTCGTATCTGTAATACCTGTCCATATCCGAGGGTAGAAGATTCCTTATTATAATCCCCGAATTGTTTCCTACTTTTTCACCGGCCTTATTGATTCTATCAGTTTCGTCGATGAGCTTCTGCACTTCCTTGTGCGCCTTCTTGCCAACGTCCTGGAAAGATCAAAACTTATTTTTAAATTTTATTTTTTTAGTCATTTTCCGTCGGAGAGTATCTTCTTACAAAAAAGACGCCGAGCACGGCGATAGCTTTGCCATCGTTCGATGCTAGAGCGGACGGGACATCTTTGTATTTACTTTTGATATGGACGAAGTGGAATTCCAGACTAGACCGTACGCTACCAATTTTGCAAAACAAAAAAAAGCAATGTCAAATACATTTGCATTTAAAAATACTGTAATAACAATACAGTATTCTATCCCTAATCCAAACTTCGATGCTCCGAACTATTTGCTATTTTCAAAGTCATTTCAAGGTGTTTAATGCCAGTTCATCTATCACATCGTTGCACTAGATTTTTTTAAATAATTTATTTGTATTCTGTACTATGCTTTTTTATCCTAGGCACAACATTCAACATTCACACTATGGCCAGCTCTGCACCTGGAAGAAATTTTATAATTCACAGTGACACTCCAGTGATTAAGGTGGGAAAGGGTAGTGAGAGCTTGGACAGTTGGTTAGGATGGATCCAGTTAATGATGTCAACAATAATAGTGAGGTTAATAACGTAGTAAGGAGCTTCGACCATTTGTCTGAAAACTTTTGACCAGGATTGGATGCGCTGCATTGGATGGCCCACAGTGACCAAAATATTTTCAAATCAAGGGGCTTAATAATTAACAAGTTTTTCCATAATACGTCAGGACTTGACCTTATAAGACGATATGCCATATAACTCTAAAATACCCTGTTAGTAGTAGTTGAAACTGTAGCAAGTTTCAAGTCCAGGAGATTAATAGGTTTAAAGGTTTTGCCATAATACGACAGGACTTAACCTTATAAGACGACAATGTCATATAACTATGAAATACCCAGTTTGTTTGAACGGATAATGATATGGCCTTAGATCGGTACAAACTTTGGTCTTGGTAGTTTCCAATCCAGAGGCTTAATAATTGACAAGTTTAGCTGTAATACGACACGACTTGAGGTTATAAGCAGAAAAATCATATAAATCTGAAATACCCTTTTATTATAATATGGCCTTAGATTGGCTCTAAGTTTTATCAAGTAGTTTGAAGTTCTGGGGTTCTGCTATACCACGGTAAGATGACCTTATAATACTACAATCATATAACTGCGAAATTCCCACGTTATAGTAAAAATAGCTATATGACCTTAGATTAGCTCAAATATTTAGTCCAGGGCTTAGTAGTTGACATGTTTCGCTTGAAGATTGTAAGACTTTACCTTAAAAGGCCACAATATTATGTGACTGTAAAATATCTAGTTTAACTAACGGATTGGCTCGAAGTTTGATCAAGTCACTTGAAGCCCAAAGGCTTGATACTTTTGGTTTTCCAAGTCTTTCAGTTTTTAATTTTGTTTTTAAACTAGCATTTGTAGCAGTATTTTTGGCGCTTCGGTTTTGAATAAGGACTCATTTTTCCTCTTTTCTAAGCGCCATTGGATGGAAATTACCGTATTCGGAGGGCGTGAAGTCAGGGTTATAAGCAGGTTATCAGAAACAAGGTTTCATAAATTTCTGGTTAAATTCTCCAGCAGGACACGCAAACACGGTTCGATTAGGTTAGGTTAGGAATGATTAGCTTAGGTAGGATTAAGGTCAGGGACGAATTAGACTAGGGTTAGATACACATCCACGAGTCAATGTTTTTCCGTGAAGCGAAGAAAATATGCACGTGCAAAGCGCATACTTTGTTCCATCGTCTATGAATATGTTTTGGTTTTTGAGACTAAACATCTGGATTGGGACCTCTGTTTTTCTTATTATGTCCGTTTTAAAGCATTATCAACAAGCTCAAAGTGCACACCGACCTGCCAGGGATTTTTCAAAAAATAACCATGATTCATGTTCAAACTTCGTCATCTTTTAGATTTGGGACGAATTTGGCATGAGAAACTGATAAACCATCGAGATCTAATCTTGGCCGGTTATTCCGGGCACTAAGTTTTTTTAAGTAGTGGTGGAGTAGTGTGGTATTAATTGCAATTATAATCCAGGTGATGGTTAAATGTTCAGAGTAAAAAAATTACAATACACTTAATACTATGCTACTACTTTCTCAGATATACAGATAAATAAATTCACAGCCAGTTATTACACACTCAACGTTCCTATCTCAATATAAAAAAATTTTTTTTTTTTTAAAGTCAATATATTTGAGAATTGTTCACTTTACTCATCGTTTAGTATGGCGTGCTCCGATGGCCAATGCATGTGAAATGACATAAGCTTGTATTCAGCATCGAGTCCTCCGCCCAAAATTCGATTACTCGAATCACCCATGATAGCATTGACTGCAACAATAAAACATATATGTTATGTTTCGGTAAGGTTTTTAATGGTCTTGGCAATGTTTTTTAAAGAAGTTAAGTTTGACCCAATGCCAAGGTGTGTGAAGGTTGGCCTTTGCCAAAAATTTAACCCCTAGACAATTTCATGCTTATACACGTTCGTAATTAGAATTGATTTGGAACATAAGTCTAGGACTTAGCGGAGAAAATGAGAAAAGCCGCGGAGAAAACCAGGTATGAAGTTGTTAAAATATAATGTCTGCTGGGGGCGTCGGTGGCCGCAACGGTTTAGGCGTTGACACGGCGCTCATAAGGTAAAGGTCCCGGGTTCGAATCCAGCCGCCCTGCATTCGTACCAGACATACTTACAAATGGGCTGTTTTAAAAAACACCGACACCCCGAGGGTTTATGTAACCATTGCTGTTGCAAACCCTCATAACAAAACCAACGAGAATATACCGATCAGATTGATAGAAGGATTCATCATCCAACAAATACAAATATAACATTTCATCTTGAGGACTGCTCTGTGACAAACTAATCTGGGGGTTTAAGATTATTTTGGCTTGCCTAACGCGTTGGTTGGCTTCCCGTCATCTTCATTTTATTTTTTATTTATTTATTTTTTCAAGAACCGTCTTTAAAATTGTAAAAACCAATCATCGAGCGAAATTTAAGCTTACTAGGTTGCAGTATAAGGTCAGTGTCCTAGTAAAAACGTAGTCGTTTAGAATTAACAGAACAAACGCTGAAGTTGGAGAGAACCTGAAACGCATCTGGCAGGCCGTTTAAGGTTTGGCGTTCGTACGTTTGTATGTTCTAGGATGTGCATAAATTTGTTAGAGAGAAAAAATTAAAATTGTATTGTCTCTCAATTTCGCAGCTTATTTTTATCTATTTTCAAAGGAAAAACTACAATTGGATTAATCATCTTTTTAAGCACCATTTGATGGAAACGATCGTAGCCAGACGGTGCGACATCAGGGTTTAAAAATGTTAGGCAAGGGTTCATCAATTTAATAATAAAGATATCATTTATGCCTTTTTCTTATAATTTCTTAAAGTTTAACTTTAATTTTGCTCGTGGTATGGTGACAATGTGTAATTATTTAAACAAAAAGCCTTTTGTCGATGGAAGAATAAAGTTTAATTAGACGTTTTTGGGGTTTTGTCATTGTCTTCCGTTTTGTTACACAATTATGAAACTAGTATAATTCAAACTTTGTTTGTCGTGTACGAAGACATACTTTTTGACTTTTATCGAATTTTGTCTTTCTTTAGCATTGCATTATCTAATTGTGGGATTTCATGGATAAGGACAGTTCATTCTCGTCCACCAATTATCGCTGTGTTGGTCTGTCAGGCGAGTTTCGGCTTCTCGGCGACTTCTGTGGTGGGTCTGGGTGATTTTTTGTGATGTCGTCTCTTTTAAAAATCCTTTCCTGCGACCTATAGAGATCTTTTAAGGAATCCCTATAAATTATAACCATGCCCTGGAAAACGCACTTTTTCCTAAGCCTAAGCACTTTCCCCGGTGCCTGTTAGCGCGTTTCGACATTTCCGCCATCTTCAGTGTTTGGGTGATTTCTGTGGAGTCTGATGCGTCTGAACTAACAAAAATCAACCAAGATGATAGGTATCTATCAAACAATAGGTTTATCACCCCCCAGGCCACAGGAGGAAATCTCACAATTTAATTCCTTATTTGGTGAATAAATATGTTACTTGTTCATTTCTTTCCTCAATAGAAACGGTAAATGAGAGGTGAGTATGTTGTTCAACTGCTTTTAGAAGATAGTTCCTACTCACTAGGTACAGTAGGAACTATCTCTTAAAGAAGTTTCATTCCTTATGTATGTGAATGTGGTCCATTTAGTGCCATACATGAGCACGTAAAATAATTCCTGTCGTACAGGAAGGTTTAACGTCAAACTAGCAGTTGGGTGTCGCGGATGAGGGTTCAACCTCTTTACAATACTTTCTCCATAGTTTTCACAATTAAAAATCCAGTGCCGGAATTGGAACACAGGACCATTCCCGTGGCAAATACGTACGAGTAGGACGCCCTACCCCTCGGCCACCGCGGTCCCCCTGGTTGATTTAGTGTGTTTATTATTTTGTTGATCGCGTTTGTGCTATAGTGTCTTTCGGTTTAGTTAGTGGCATTGTTTTAGTCTGTCTGTCATACAATTTAAATGCTGCCTTTTTGCTACGGATGTGGATGATTCGAATCGGCTTGTTTGATGTTGTCTCGGCCTCTGTTGGTATGTGTAATTTGTAAGGTGTACAGTATAAGGTAAGGTCTAGGAAATTTACACTTTTTTAATTTTCTAGTTCTGTCTTGAATTGTGAAGTTTTTGCGAAAAGAGTTCAGATCTATCAGTACATATGTAGTTTATGTTGTTTCTGTTGACATCTACTATGATGTGTATGTCATAAACGTATCTATGATGTGTTTCGCCATAATTTCAGGGAAATATTTGTGCGAGGACTGGGTTGTCCATTCCTAGTCCTCTTTCTGTCCAACAATGTTAACCAGTATATTTGGTTTAATAGGTGCCATGAAAGCTTCTGAACTTTCGCAAACCTTCATTCCAGATATCGCGAAGAAATTACCGACGTATACTCATGATTTAGAGTGGCTTGTACCATCATTAATCGTTTTAGTATTTGTTGCACTTTATGATCGGTTCGTTTGTATGTTCGTTTTATGTTATATTATGTAGTACTATGTTCATCCTTTTTCTGGAATTGATGCCGAAACGCATCTGGCAGTCCATACAGCGAGGTTAGGCAGTCCAAAATGTTCGATTTCAACACTTGTAGACAATACAATTCGGCTTAAAAAGAATAGAGATCAAGATCATCCACTTCTTAAGGCAGATTGATATGTGTTAGATTGGAGGGAAATTACGCTTAATCAAATAATGCTCCCAACTAGACAAATCATGCATCACCAGGAGAAAAAGTGAATAAATAGAGAGAAATATATTTTTAACAAAAAACAAGCTAATTGTTGATTAAGTTTCTTATCAATACAAGAAAAATTTTAAGAGGGCCTGGTCATATAAACTACAGCTGAACTCTCTCTTTTTACTGTTATTCGGCCAAAGCGTTCTATAAGGTTGATTCTATCTGCTGAGAATTTTCATTAACAGTAGATAGGTGTTTTAAATATTTTGAAAAATGGAGAATCAGGCCTAATATTAGCAAACTGAGGCAATACTGTTTACTTGACGCAGACCACATAGTGTCAATCATGTCAAAATAAATAACTTGCCAATACAATAGGCTAAGAATATCTCGATTCCGAATTTTAGTTACCACAATGGAAAAAATGCTCAAAAGCCTTATCTGGTCTTTAATAAGAGTTCATGTATGGACGGTAAAAATAAAAAACTTACGTCCATTAATAACCTACGGTACTCCCACTTAGGGAAAATATGTCTAAATCCAATTTTCGAGAGCATTAGGTATAAAAATTATTGGAGGGTTTTCTCGTCGGACTCGGTTTGATGCCATACCTAAACATTCACAGCTTAACAACCCACATCTATAAAGCAATTATAAATTCATTGCATAAATAGCCCATTGGTTCATATAAAAATCTATTTATTTATAATAGGAATATGAACTACTGTAACTACAAGCACTGATATAGCCGAAACGCATCTGACAGACCAACCCAGCGAGTATACCAAAGTAGTTAGGTAAATACTGTTTGAAAAATAATGAACATGTATTAAAAGGAAATGTGTGACTGCCAATGTATCTGATTTAGTCAATCCTTGCTTGTTAGATGATCTTTTTAGTATTGCTTGTACTTGAGTATACTTATTGTCTTATTTATTTATTAAATTCATGCAGGATATTTGTTAAATATATTTCTCCCCTAAACTATTTCATGTTTAATATAT